TTGGGGAGAATATAGTGGCCAATTTGGTGATCTAGAGACTTGATGAGGGTTCTTCAAGTAAATTATCAAATGGACATGATGGTTCTTTCATCTCCAGAACAGCACAGCACTGAAATGTGTTCATCCTGTAATTCAGCAGGGAATAGCTGTGGCAGATGGGCATTAGTTCTGCACATGGCTAGTTTTGGCAGAGGATCACTTTCTACTGATAGCCAGGGCATCTCCTCTAAAGAAACTTTAAAAAACAAAAGAAAAACCAAAAGACCACCATTGTGTCTTCGTTATTTAACAAATTTCTTTGGTTTAAAAATGATATCACACCAAGGGTTGTCTTCCAGCATGAATGCAATCAGGCTGTAGAATTGGGTGAGAAATCTCATTGTTTCTGATACAGCAGGCTTGACTAAATTACGTCTACCCTGTAGGAGGGGTAGGTGGGATTTGTGTGCAGATGAATTTCATTTCATCTCCTACAGATCCTGTAGGAAATCAAAATAATCTTCCTGAGCCTGTCTGCTTTCCTGCTCCGCTGGTGCCAGGCGGTAAATAAAGTTGTGACCTTCATCTGTGTCAGGGAGTTGCAGCAGAAGAGGCTGGTTCAGTTCACCAAAGCCTGAAATCCCCAAAGAGGAGAATCTATTCCATGCACTGCAGTATGAAGCTCAGGGCTGTTTCTAACAACTTAGATTAAAACTCACAGCTCAGGAGAAGATAAAGTGCTCAAGCCAACTTTACAACTTCACCACGAGCTGGCTCTTTCTGTGGCTTTCTTTCAATTTGTCTTTTACCACCCTGCTCACTTTGGACTTGGTCACACTCCCACCTGACAGAGGGTGGGCATTTGAGAGGAACAAAAATGGTGAGAATGTGGGTAAAACACTAATATTTTTGAAATATTCTTACTTCAAAGCCACTTCTGTCATTTTAAATGAGATTCTCTCCGTCTTTCTTTGGGCTGTGGCCATGTTGCTGTGTGCTCCTGGCAAAGGCCCACTCCATGCATCTGTTGGCTTTTTTTAGCTTAACTGGCACATGGCATGTGGCCTGTCCAGCCTCTTAGCTGGAGAAAAAATGGTGACTTTTCTTTTTTCCTTTTATTTAGCATTACATTTTTGTGTAATAAGAAAAATTCTGTTTTTCTTGTTCCACGAGCCACCGTGGCCATATCTGCATTAGCAAATAGTGTCATCCTGAGATTCATTGTCTGTGATCCAAGCCTTTTGGAGGAGGAGGAGGTGGTGATGTGGTCACTTAGGACTTACTCTAGTCTCATCCTGTGGACTGAGTGTGTCCTTGTGGCTGAGATGGGGTTCACTCCTGGAGAATATCTTCTGGTTTAGCTGTACCCAGAACCCTTCTGCTCCAAACCAGAGCACAAAGAGAAGGACCAAAGGACGAGCTGCTTCCAAAATGCATCCTGAGAGGATGCTAATGCAAATGTGCTCAGCTGGGTTCCTTAGCAGGACAATTCTGAGCGCTGTGTGAGATGAGCATGGTAAAGCTCAGTTATTGATAACCAGCAATTACTCATCGTATCCCAGTGGGAAGAGAAAGGAAGGGGAATGAGGAAGGGGTGGGAGGAGCACACTTTCTACAAGAACTGCCAAAAACGTCAGTTCTGTCATACTTGTGAAGTCTCACAGAGCTGAAAATGTAGACATCTTTTTCTCGAACACCTTCCAAACTTGTGGTGGCTCTGCCTGAACTTCTGTAGGTGAGGTAGCACCGTTTCCTCCACCTACTGTGGCTGTGATTGAGTGATGGGGAAGGCACGATTTTAAGTCCTTTATTTTTGGCAGTAGAGGTTAGAAGCTGCTGCACATAGCAGATTGCAACCTTCCATAAAGCACGTGGGAGCCTGCAAAGTAGGGGCCTGTACAGCAATTTGGATGAGGGGCTGTTGGATGGGGGTTGTGCAGGACCCAGACCACATTCAATGCACGTGGGTCAGGCTCGCTCTGGTTCAGTTGGTGTTAAATCACCTTGGTGGTGCTGGGGAGATGTTCCCTGTTTTTCTGAAGACCCATCCAAGCCCATGCTGTAACTTGCTAGAATATTTCAACTTACAAAGAATCTGACGGGGTTTTCACAGAATCAGCCAGGCAAGTGTATCTGGCAGGTGTACATCATGGAACAGACCCAAAATAGCTTTTGGAGAGCTTGACGTCAGCTATGCTGCTTGCATGTCAATGAATAAAATATATATATATATATTCCACGTATATATATAGGAGGGGAAAAAAAAAAAACTCTTCTGAAATGTTTTCTTTGTCTTGTTTATCGGATCAGTGTCATCTAGTGCATGAATACTGGCCAAAGTTATCCCATAAAGACCTTTTAAAGACAAATGATTTCTTTTTTTGAAGCCATGCTGATGCAAAACCAAGGATTGCTTTCTAACCTTCACTCATTTTATTCAAAACATGTAGTAATTGTATTAGCAAAGAGCAATTTAACTTTATTTTCTTTAATACATGTAGATTATTTTCCATGACTGTGGTTTTGGTAGTGTTTTTAGAGCCAGCAAAGAGTCAGATTCATATAATAGACCGATATCTCAGCACTTGAGTTGCTTTAAACCTTATTTGTCATGGAAAAGCGGTTAATTGATTCAACAGTGTCAATACTGATGGGTACAAGGAGGTGTTGGAAGGGGAGGAGAACAGAGCAAACAACAAGGAAAATGGGATTTGAAGGTTTGGAGACCTACAGACTGGAAGGCATCTAGGGAAACAGTCTGCAGAAAGGGTAAGGAATCGCTTCCTCCTGGAGAGCTCTGGTGGGATGGAGCAGAGCTGTGAAAGGGTTTTGGGTTGGGTGTTCACAGAACCCAGATGTTGTGTGGGTGGCTTTTAATCCACAATTTCTCAGGTGGAGAGGCTTGGTTCAGCTGTGCTGTGGTGGTTGGGTGTGGAGGTGGTTCATCATGGAGAGATGTTGCAGCCTCTCTGGTGCTAGGGAAGGCTGGTGTGTGTTGTTGATGCAAACACCAAGGCTGGCATCCTGCTACTAAAGGTGTGTTTTTTGAGGTGGAAAACCCAAATTCCAATTTTAGTGTTTTCCCTCAGAGAACCCACCTGTGCCTGTAGATGCAGGTGTGTGTGTGAAGTGGGGAGAGGATAGTCTCTAAGCTCATGCCAGAGTAGTTTGGCCATGTAGGTCTGATTGTACTCAGTAGTTGCACTGTAGACGTTCCTACTTACCTTATTCTGGTCCCTTTTGCCCCGTTTTTCTGGGATGCAAAGCCCCTAATGGGAATTAGACACCTGGTGCCACTGAGGTTGGATAGAAGTTGGGTAATAAACAGCTAAAATGAAGACAAATTTTAACCATAATCCCTGGCCAAGAACTGGAAATTTCTGGTACAAAACATATTTTTTTGGCACAGCAAAAGTTAAATAATTCCAACCCTTTATTGCTTTCTTTTTGGCACTTTTAATAAGACGGAGCATACGAGGAAGAACTGTATCACAAGACTGGTATCCAGGGTGATGCATGATGAAACAGGCAACACAGTCAAGTAAATAGCTTCAGCCTTTAAGATGGAAAGGGAGGGCAGAGAATTGTAGGATTTCTTATATATCACCAAAACAGTGTTTATACTGGTTATGTTTTGCATAATTGAAAAGCCATGAGACAGTTCACTAGAGAAAAGGACATTTTGAAAAGAGATTAATGGTGTGCGCTCGGGGTTTGGAAGGAAATTATAGTAGTAAAGTTGCTCATGCACTTCTTCAATTTTTCATCCCTTCTTGCTCATTCTGGGAAGAGAGGATTCATTTGAATTTTTTTCCATAACTAATTTATTTCAGTGTTTTGTTCCGAACAAACTGGATGCTATTTGAAGCGGAAACATGTGTGGACTATTTAATGCCTGCAGGGTAAAACCAACAAGGAACACATGGAAACAATGCTGGTTAGGGACAGTCTTCTTGCAACATTGTTCTCTCCATGGATGTCCTTGCGGTTTAGGATTTTACCCATGCTATTGGAGAGGGGTACTCAACAGCTCTGTTAGGGATTTTTTATTTTGGGTGGTGGTTGCTATTTGAAACATTTATCAAAACACAATATTGGTGCAAACATCTTTCATCCGGCGCTGGTGTGGTCTCTTCTGCTGCTGTTATTATTTGCTAAAGACTTGCATATGTGGTGGTGGTGGGAATAAATGTTGTGGTTGGGTGGTTTGGCTCTACAGGATGAGTGCCCTGGGGGAAGGAGAGGAAGGGTTTGTGTGTCTGAATTGCAGTATCATCCCTAACCTGCCACGGAGAGTCATTACCGTGTGATAATTGCTCGGTTATTTAGGCTGAATTGATGGCAGAATAAGATGCCATGTTGCATATCTCACAAGTGGATGGAAAAGTTAAACACCTCGAAAAACAGAAGTACCCAACCAACCAAAAAAAAAGCCAACCCAGCTCTGTATCAGAAAGGCTCTCTTGTTCCACCTGCCCCAAGTGCAGGAGGAATGCCATCCCAGCACCGCACAACACTCACCTACGTGATGCAAACCCTCTGCCCAGAGCTGGGGAGAAGGGGCAGATCTCCCATTTCCTGGGCGGGAGATGAGGTTACTGTCTCCCCTCTCCTGCTCTGTTGGTGCTGAGAGAGAAGAAGAGGTGGGATCTTCACCCTGCTAGCAGAGCCGAGTGGTTTTTGACATTGAGTTGCCTTCAGCTGTCATTGCTAACATCTCTGTGTTAACACAGTTCCTCCTCTTTGTGCAAGCTCCCCAAAATACGTGGCATGTTAGGCTGTTGGTATCTGTCAAAATCAGTGGGAAAATATCTGATCTAATTAACTTGAGGCTTTTGGGGCAGCTGTATCAAGTGTTTGACCCATCAAGTTTGTAACCTAGAAGTAACCCAAAAGCCTCTTGCAGCCAGGTTCATGCTCCTTGCCTTGGAGATGCCCAATTACACCATCCAACCCCAACAGCCTATAGATGAGATGTGGAAATGGAATACTGTTAATGTGATTTCTCTTTCTGTACACAGTGGGAGCGCCTCTGGTTCCTGATCCTCACCTTGTCCTTCTTCCTGACCCTGGTCTGGTTTTACTTCTGGTGGGAAGTTCGCAATGACTACAATGAAATCAACTGGTGAGCACAGCCTCCCTGCTGCGGGGAGGCAAGCCCTTAACTGATCTGGCTGCTTTTGTATGCCTCTAAAAGGCTTTTTCAATACCAGGTCGGATGCATTTGGGTCCTTCTGATGGACTTGTTAATGACAAGTAAATGGAAAGCGAGGTGGAGAGAGAGGGCAGAGAGCTGCTCCTGCCTATCTGTGCTGATAGATGTAATGTGCTCTCCTATCTCCATTTCTCGGCTGTAAGAGCTTTGGGCAGGTGTGCACCCTGAAACAGCTTGCGAAAACAAAGTGGAGCTGAAATCATGTAGAAGCCTTTTGTATTTTTTTTTTCATTTGTTTGTTTCTATGATTGTCTCTTTTTGGAAGCAGCTGAGCAATCTGGCCAAAACTTTCCACAATATAAATATAAATGAAAAAAATATTCAGCCTGAAGCAGACACGGGTGTGGAAAATTTTGCAATGTTGGAAGAAGCTGTAAAGCTTTCCAGGGGAATGTGCTGGGCAGTTTGGGGTATTGCCAACTCCCCCTCAGTGCTGGAAATCATCCTCTCTTTTACCATCTCAGCAGCATCCTAAAACATTTTTATAGTACCTTGGGCTCTGTTCTAACTGAACTGCTTTGACAACATCTTCATGTCAAAAATAATATTTAAACAGAATTTTAAAACACAGCGGGTAGTTGATCTCTTAAATAAACTGCCTGCTTTAGATACTAGAGTTCTGTGAGGGAGAATGTTTACTAACTTAATGATGTGAACTCTCTCCTCCCAGGAGAGTGTTTTTTCTTTGCTCAGACCAACACTCGGAACCGAATCCAATCGCTACCGCTCTTGCCGTTTCTAACAAGAACATGAAGAAAATGCTTGATCATTTTTTCGTTTTTAAGGCTATTTTGCTAGTCCCCTTTCAGCTTATACCTTCAGGATGCGAACGCTCCTGTTCTGCTCTAGTACAAAGCCAAATTGGTTTTAACTCGAAGTTGAGAAAGGTCTACAAAATCATGTAAAGATGATGAATGCCCTGGAAATGCTGTGAGTGGACAATGAAGCTGTGGTGCTGTAAAGTTTTGGGTTCCTAAATATTAATGTGGGGACGGGAGGAGATGGGGAAGGCTGCTCTGTGTGCAAAAGAGGTATTTGGGCTTTGGTGCATTTTACTTAACATGCAACCAGTATGCACAGGGCACTGGAAGCACTTCTGGGTTGACAGCACTGGAAAAGCAAAAACTATGTGCACAAGAGCCATGGAAAAATCTCTCTGGATGCCAAATAACAGGGCTACATCTGTCCGTTCAAGCATTGCCATTCAGTGCTGAAAATGGGTCAGTACTTTGCATGCACTGTAACCCCAATTAGACCCCTGCTCCATGTGCTGGCACCAGAGGTTGAGGAGAACAGCAGGGTTTCTTAACAACAGCCTGAAATGCTGCAGAAAGGCTGGGAGGGGAGGATGGTAACATGGGGTGAGGTTTTAATTGCAGCTACGTCAGTTGCAGGGAGAGAGGAAACAATTTCCACTGTGGGTCCGTGCAGGCTGAGCCTGCCCCCTTCCCTCCCCACACAGATGGGTGGGCTCCGTTAAAAGATGATGGTAATTAGGGGAAAGTTCCCAGCCAGATGGGACACACAGAAGAGATAAAAGCACCATTTTGGTCCCGGCAGAGCTGTGAGCCTGTTGCTGACTGGATATGGCTATCACTTCTGGGGTCAATGTTCTTTTGATACTCGTTCCTATTGCCTCCCTCTCTGCTCCACGATCTATTTACAAGCCATGAACTCTCCCTGAGTAGTACAGAATAGAATGGTTGATTTGGAAAGGACCTAAAAGATCAAGTCCAACTGCCTGACCACTTCAGGGCTAACCAAAAGTCAGAGCACATTATTGAGGGTGTTATCCTCATTATTTTTTTAAACACTGACAGGCTTGGGGCAGCAACCACCTCCCTAAGTCTCTGTCTGACCACCCTAATGGTAAAAAAAAATTTCCATACATTCAGTCTGACCCTCTCTGGTGCAACTTTGGGCTGTTCCCATGTGTCCTGCTGTTGGTGACCAGGGAGCAGAGGCCTGCACCTCCCTCTCTGCTTCATCTCCTCTGGGAATTACAGAGCAATGAGGCCACCCTCTCAGCCTCCTTTTCTCCAAACTGGACAACCCAGCCTCTTCTCAATCGCATGCCCTCCTCTGGATGCATTCAAATATCTTAAAATCCTTTTCATATTTACGTATTTTTATAATTATATAAGAAGGGCTCTTTGGGGCAAACATAGTCCTTGTGCGGGGTCTAGCACACTGAGGTGGTGACAGGCTTCATGGAGACCCTGGGACAAGAAATTGCCTTCATATTGGTGTGATGAGCTGCTGAGCTCAGTCCTGCCTCGTGAAGCTCATCCTCATGAGCTGTCCTGCCTCATATTGTGTACAGATAATACCACTGAGCCTCCTTGGCCTGCCTCATCACGGCAGGTGAAGGAACATGTCCAGCCAGCCCTTGAAGTAGGACTGTCACCGGTACTAAGCCAGGTTGACCGTGAAGTCCTCCTGAAACCCCAAAGATGAAAACTTCCATCTCTGGGACTTGTTCCAGCTCCACACCACCCGCTGTGAGGAGGTTTTCCAACCCAAACCTCCAAGGGCCATTTCCCATTGTGACAATGTCACCGCGAAGAGATTGGTTTCATCATCTTCGCTGCTGTCTGTCAGCGTAGGCAGCAATTAGATCATCTATTAACCTCTTTTCTGTGAGACTAAACAAGTTCAGCTTCCTCAAGCTTTCCTAGGAAGCCTTGTTTCCCAGGTGCCTCTCCACCTTGGTTTGGTAGCTCTCTGTTGGACCTCCTCCAACGTCCTCCTTGAACTGGGAGGCCCCAACCAGGACAGGGTGGTGCTGGTGGCACCTCACTGGTGTTGGGTAGATGGGAGAGCCACTTTCCATGGTCTGCTGATCCCTTTCCTCTTAACGCAGCCTGATGTATGGGTTGACTTACAACCGAGGTACCCTGTTGGCTCCCACAACCTTATGTCCTCCGTAACATCAGCATCCTTCTCAGTGTGCTATCCTCTCAGTTTGTTGGGCTGAAATGACACTTGAAACCTGGATTCATTAAGAAGTTCTTCATTTCTTAGCCCACATGTGCAAGGCATTGCTAAATGCTGCTGAGCATGTTTATAGGGATGAATTAAGAGGAAGCAGAAACCTACAAGTGACCATAGAAAAGTCTGTCTGAAGTTCAGGCCACACAGCCAGGGTTCTGCAGTGGATGCACCTGCCTAAGTAGAAACCAAATTGACCTCTTAATTAAATCGTGGTAGTGGTAGGGTTTACCTACATAAATGTGTGTACTTGGCCTTTAAGCTTGTAGAGACTTAAGGGACTATTCTGGGATTGAAATGGGCTTTGGAGAAAGACAAGGTAAAATTATAGCCTGGCATGTATTGCTGCAGGCTTTTAACCTTTTTCTGTGAGGTTTGCTGCCTGAATATGCAATGAGGTCTTTGTCAGTGAAAGCCCTTTGTGTCTCTTAAATGGAGAGTAAAATCTGTTATTTTTTTTTTTTTTGCTTTGGGCATTTCCTTTTTTTGTGTCAACATTTTGTTGCATTATACTTCAGATCTGTGCAAGGTCAAAGCCTACATACTGCGACAAAACTCTTGAACTTCATTAACGAGGGATGCAGAAGGTGCTGTAACTTGTGAACCTGGCTGTATTTCCTCTAGAGCAAGACTATAAATTTAGCATTTTTTTCCCCTTCTTTAGTTCTGGAGATGGCTCATCTGGTTTGTGACTACCATGGAAACAGCATTTTAAAACAGTCATTTGCACATCAAGCGAAGACCTGAAGGCCACTTTGAAGGGGCATCAGAGCAAAATTCAAAATGTACTGAAGCTGAGCTAAGGAAAGTGCTAGTGCTGGCATGAGCAAAGAATGCACAGGAACCTTATTATTATTTTTTTTTTCTTGGACTCCTAGAGCAGAACCTGAACATAGATTGTGTTTGTCTAGCTCAAAGATTTGCTCTGCAGATCCTTTGTGGGAGTTTTTTTTTTTTTTCTGGATACAACAAACTGGGGAAGTCATCAGGCCAGAGTTTGTGGCTGATGAATGATGCAAAATTTTTAGTGATGGGAAGGGGGCTGTGGAGGAGGTTGAGTCTTTGAGCTGCTTACACGCAGTATTTGTAGTTTGTTCTAACAAAAAAGTCTTGGCCAGTTCATGAGCTCTCAGTTTTCACATACTGGGGAAGCCCAGTACCTACTGTGTTATGGAATCCCTTAATACAGGGATTTACATGGAGGTAATTAACACAAATCCAGTTGACCTAGTGATGTCTTTTTCTAAAAATTCAGTGGAAAACACTTTAGTCCAGGTCAGACTTGAACTCAGAAGTTTCAAGAAGTGTTCTGGGATTTGGCTGCCTCTCTGCTGGTGCAGTGGGACCTGGGTACTTTTGGGATGTTCTCTGCTTATTTTAATGGGAGCCCGATTGAATGTATAGGACTCCATGGTAGGCCTAGATGACATTGGTGCATGAAATAAAAGGAAGACTGAGGATCCTGCAAGTGTCTGGCCTGCTGTGGTGAAAAGGTGATGCTTCAAGAAAAACCTGCAAAAGCATCCCAAAACATGATTTTTTTTTAAAAAAACAAAACAAAACAAAACAGATTTTGTTCTTTGTGATTCATATGGCTGCTCTTTTAAGAGTGTTTTTTCTGCCTCCTTCCTCCAGGCCTCACTGAAGTGTAGCTACAGCTGCATGCAGTGGTGTCTGTCTCCTCTTTTAAACGCTGTAGTGCGTGAGACTGAGGGTCATGTCAGCTCTGGGGATGCTGTTTTTAAAAACTAATCCCTATGGTGTTCGTTTCAGCTTTTTGACAGCTCCTGCTCAGGTTCTTTGAGCTCTGTCTCAGCTGCTTTGCCTTCTTGTCTGTTTTTTTGGGGGAGGAGAAGGGGGTCCTTTTGGACACTGACAGAAGCACCAATTTTGGCATGTGTCTGGAGTAGCATGGAAACATGCAAGTGCTATAATTTTATTATCAGCAGTGCATGGGGATCTGAAGAGTTCTCAAAAGCCTTTGCACCCCAAAATCCTGTTGGTTATACCAGCTTTTTTCTGGGAGGTAGGGATGGGGAAGAAGGGACACCTCTATTTTGGGGAGGTGTCCCTGATTTACATCAGCTTTTCTGGACAGTCTTCTAGGGCAGGGACAGTACAAGACTGAGTCTGTCTTGAGTTTTGCTACGGCTTTGCTATAATGTGCTTTAATGACTCTCCAGTCCGTCTCCAGGATAGCTTTACTGGGAAGTGTATTGCTATTTAAATGCAAATTTGACATTTGAGACCCACTGCCGGGCACAAGGGACTGTCTCTGGCAGTGCTGCCAGTAATGGACTGCTTCACCTGATGCTCCCGTTCACAAAGCTCTTGTGCTGTGGCTTCGTGAACGTGATGGAGAGAGGCAGGCTGCTGAGCCAGATCTGCCCTCTGAAGTATAGGGTTGGGAAACCTGATAACTGAGAACAGAGAGGGCGCCTGGGTGAATGCAGGAGAGGAGAGGACAAAAATCAGCTTCAGCAGGAGAACAAAGCCTGACAAGCAGCTGAGAGCTGGTAGGGATTGAGCACTGCAATTCCAGCAGCTAAGGCAAGGAACAAGCATGGGCTTCTCTGGTTTTAGAGCAATTCTGGAAAAAAATATGGCCTCTGTTTTTTGTTCTGCTACACCTCAATGAGATGTCAAGTCTCAAGTGTGTTCTCAGGAGAACTGAAGGAAATTTACTTGTGGGTGATGGTCTAGAGGAACCAGAGAAGCTGTTTTGGAGATAAATGCTTTGGAGATAGACCTGTAGGATGCAGAAAAGGATTTAAGAGCCCTGGTGGACACCAAGATGAACATGAGGAAGCCATGTGCTCTTGCTGTGAAGAAAGTTAACAGTATTCTTGGCTGCGTGAGGCAAAGTATTGCCAGCAGGTCAAGGGAGTTGATCCTTCCCCTATGTTTAGCACTGCTGAGGCTGCATCTGGAGTGCTGGGTCCAGTCCTGTGGCTGCCCCTTGCAAAAATTGGATCACGGAGCCATCGAGTGGCCTGCCTCTTACTTAGCTTTAAGGTAACCAGAAGGGCTGGGACAAGGGAACTCGGTGGGCCAAAAATCCCCATGGCAGCCTTCAGGCTTGGCGGACAGACCCTTGAGTTGGTTGGAGAAAATCAAAAGGATGTGGATCCTCTTCCAGCCTCATTTTGGGAAGCCCCAAGCCCACTTCTTGACCATCTCCACTCTTGCAGGATTGGACTTTCTCTCCAGACCACTGGAATAAAAGGCACTGTCTTCGATACACACAGAAGATCCAATTTGTTCCATCACCTTATCCCTCTGAAAAGAGTTAGTGCCTTGAGTACAAAGCACAGTTAAGTGCAGCAAGACTTTTCTTTCCCTGTCCTTGATACCATCTCTATATTGTGTTTATTACTTTGTGAACACATGGGACAGCCTTGGACCTATTGTTTAGGCAAACAACAGCAAATATAAGGATACTTTTCTCTTGTTTATAGGGAATATTTTTCTGAAAACTCATCCTGTATGTTTTTTTTTTTCCCAGAGTAACAGTGTTGCTGTGTTTGATATAATTGTCGGATTCCTCTTTGCAGAGTTAATTTCCCACGAGGGATCAAAGCACAAAAGCTGCTTTTTTGTTTTACTTTTCGGAATGTTTTGTGCTTTTTTTGCTGCCTATCCGTGCAGTAGAAGCTAGAAAGAAGTAGAAAGGCCCATTTTCTACAGACTTCTCTAATCCTAGTGGAGTTGCTATGTCGTTGAGTCACTTAATCTCTATTTCATATTTACCTTTCAGGTTTTTATATAACCGAATGGGATATTGGAGTGACTGGTCCATTCCAATACTTGTAACGACTGCTGCTGGCTTTACGTACATTACAGTGTTATTGGTGAGTACAACACCATTTGCTGAAGGTCTTTGCATTTATTTTTTAAAAGGGGCACAAGCTTCTCACCCTACCTACAACTTGAGCAATTTTTCTTTCGGAAGGGATTTCTCTCTCCTCTCTCTCTCAGCCTTCAGTTGCCTAAAATAAAGTGAAAAATGTGTGGTCTCTGACCCCAGCTGATTAAGTGCAAAGTTAGACACCCTGGAACAGCCTTGTCCCATGTGGGATTTCCAGGAGCTGTGCACCCATGGACTCACCAGCTCCATGCCTCTTGGAGGTCGAAGTCTCTTCATCCCCATCCCTTCCATTTAGGAGGATCTGGGTGCTGCCCACTGGACCATCCCCACCCCAACCCTGCTTTCTGACCGAGCTCATTTGGCTGTATTTTGGGGTTGGGTGGTGTGTTCCTGCATGTGCCAGCACTGAATGGCCTTGACGTGCTGGTGTCTGACTCTTGTGTTCTTCTTTCCAGATACTAGCACTATGTCACATAGCTGTGGGACAGCAGATGAACCTGCACTGGCTTCACAAGGTAAATGGATCTTCCAAGCTCAAAAGCAAGCAGGGTCTCAACGACGAGGGTGCTGAATGGGGTACTCGCTGTCACGTTTTGGGGAAAAATGATAGTATTTAGAAGTCTGTGGTGCTTGTCCCCGTCTTGGAGGACTGAGAAAATTATGCAGCAGTGGCAATTAAAGCCTGGAGACAAGGACTTTTTTCTATGTTTGGGGAAATGATTTGGGGTCCCTGTTGATGGAGGGCCTGCTTTTGGAGACTGAGAACAGCTGTTTCATTAAGGCAACCTGAATTTGGTCTTGGCTCATCATGGAGCTCTGCTATGAACCTTTTATGCTCCTTTCCGTGCTGAACCCAGCCCCAGAGGAGAGGCTGGGTGGATGTGAAGCTGTTCAGGATGTGGTTGGAGCCAGTGACTGAGGAACAGCTTTGGAGATGATGTAGGTGTTAGGGCTGAGGGTGCACAATGCGCAGGTTGGAGCTTGCTGAAACCCAAGGAGGTCCCAATTTGCATTTAAATCAGTTTGAAAAAGATTTCTGAGAAATGTAAGAGAAGATACAGATCTGGTGTTTGGAACACAGAAGGGGAGAGGAAGGGTTGCTAGCAAGCTGCAGAGAGAGGCAGTGCCAAAGAAAATGGCTTGGCAGGATTAAATTGTAACTGGCAATTTGCTAATAGGTAATTAAGGGACCTGTCCTCAATCTGCCAATACGCAGCTCCTCCTGAAACCAGTTCTGCATATGAAAGGTCTTGCAGGATCGGAGCATGAGCAGATATACCTTTTCCTTGGACAGGGAGAGCACAGACATCCCCTCCCTCTTTATTTTTATTTTTTTAAATTGATTTAGAAATGATAGAAATGGTGCTTCCTCAGGAGGAGGGAAGGATGCGCTGCAAAGAGGGGGCGGAGGCCGTCTGACTGGTGCTGGAAAATAAGTTGTTGATCCTTGAGTCTAACATATGTTTCCTCATCGGGGGAGACAGTATTTTCAGACACGCTCCAGGTGGCTGGTGGGCTTGGATGAGCAAGTCCAGAAGAGGAATGTGTTGGAGATGCATCAGTTCTTGCCTACAGAAACCCACCCTTCCTTCCCTTCCTCTGAAAAATAAAACACCTTTCAGAACAATTAAGGCATCTTGCTCTGTCACTCTTCCCTTCCCCACACCACCTTCATTGAGATTTCCAGGAAGGGAGAGACAAGAGGCTGGAATAAGTTAATATTCTCCCTGTAGCCATGCTGAAATATCTTCAAAACGAAATTAAAGTGGGTGGGAAAGGCCAATATGTGCAGACAGCACGATTCCTTCCGACTTTCTCCTGTGCTCCTGCAAAAAGAGCTGAGGATTGTAGGATGAGCTGGAGCTGCACAGGGAAGGGTAAGAAGTGATGAATCCGAGCTGACGGGAGAAGAAGATGATGAAATGGAGATGGACTTGTGGTCTGACAGCACTGTGCTGCACAGGGCAGCAACATCATGGGCAATTTGGTGTGTTCTGAGGAAATCCAGTGGGCGAAATCTAGTTGGCAAATTTTTTTTATTTGCCACTGGGTTGGAAGTTCAGCTTTGGGGGATAAAAATGGATGAAAAGTGGATTGGATTGTGTTGTGTGCTGGTGTTAGGCTGTGGCAGGGGGCCCAGAGGTCTGACCGCAGGATGGGGGAGCAGAATGACTGTTACATGTAAGCCCCATGGCAAAATACAATTGTTTTTGCATTGCTTTGTGCTTTGGTTACTTGGAGCCCTTAATGAGGAGAACTCTTGAAATAGTGTGGCTCTGTAGGGAGCTGGGAGTGTCTTTTAAATGGGCAAGTACACGCAGAGATGGGTAGTATGTGGTTTGCAAGCAGCGTTTTGGTTTGTAAGTCCTTTTCAGTGGGGAGCAGCCAGATCTTGTGGCCCCATGTGCTTGGCTCGTGTTCCCCCGAAGGTGGAGGCTGAAGGTAAAACACTGCTGTCCCATGGACGTCTGCTGTGCTGTTGGCAGATCTCTGGGGGAAGCCAGGAGAGGAATGGCAGGAGTGCTAAACTGCTAAGAGAAATCCTGTCCTTACGTACCAAGCTGATTTCTGTAAATGTTTGAGAATGCGGAGTGTTTATTTGTCTAGGATATTAAGAAAACCTGAAATTAACCTAGAGGTGTCCTGTACGAGCTAGATGATCAATTCATTGCTGTGTATCAGCTGGCCTTTTCTGCCTGAGTCTCCTGCACAGATTTCAGATGTAGACAGTGCGTGGGACGGGGAGGCAGAGCAGCAGCATCCTTTGGATCCAGCAGGCACGCAGCACAGCAGAGGCTGAGATACCAGACGGAGAGGCGGAGGATGCTGAACTATTTTTTGACAGACAGCCCAGATTTAGTCCCTCGGATCTTTACGGGAGGAGTTATTTCTGAGGCAGACTGTGGTGAACTTTTTACCTTCAGAATGGAGGCGACGTTTCCTTTTTGACGGCTCCGCTCAGACTTCTGAGTGTTTCCATGTGGAGATGGCAGGGAGGGCTAGGGGAGGTTGCTGATGGACTGGGGCTCATCCTGCCACCTCATTTCAGCCACTGCATCATCCAGAGCCTCTTCTCATGCTGTATTATCTGTTATCCCTGCTCTGTCAATGTGGTTTGGATGCTGACCGCACACCTCTTTCCATTTCAAACCCAAGTGAAGTCACGTCCATGCACAAAGTTGTGCTGAACCATCGCAGGGATGACCACTTGGTGATGGGGATGCACAGCCTTGCTTGTGCACTTTCACCCTTTGCTGAAGGGCAATTTTCGGTGTCTGCCTGGAGTGTCCAAGGTTTATTCCTGAAAGGAACTGTTGGAGAGGCAAGCTGGGTGAAATCCAGCAACCCCCCCTAGCACTGGTACATCACAGGACCACAGGACTCTGGCAGAGCCCACTCTCTATTTAAACTGCCATTTGTTACATGCAAAAATTTCTCTTTCTCCATTTCTCTATCTGTAAAACTGCTATAATAACAATACGAAGACTCCAGTAAGTAAATACTCTCACATTTGCTGCAGATTGGCCTGATGATGACCTTGATAACTACCGTGGTGACCATGTCATCGATAGCACAGCTTTGGGACGACGAATGGGAGATGGTATTTATTTCACTGCAAGTAAGTTGCGTGCAGGGATGCTTCTTTGGGTAGGGACAAAAGTGATCACTCTGTTTCCATCTCCTGGACTCTTTTCTTTAAAATCAAACCAGGGCTTGGCTGCAGGGTTAGAGATGGGAAATTCTGAAGCTGCGGGTGACTTGGAGCTGCTGGAGGGTGAGAGCAATTCCACTTGGAAAAATCCATGATCTCACTGTGGGCAGCAGTGCTCAGGGCATGGTGTCCACTTCTGGAGTGTCTCTGGCTGTTCCCAGCACGGTGGGAGCGTTCCCTGGATTTATTTTTGCCCTGTGTATAAGTGTATATATATATCTAAAAAATAATGGAAATTGTGTGCTTGATTCCTTTTTTTTTTTTTTTTTTTTTTAAGAAAGACTTGTGGTACGCTGCAGGGCTGTTTAGAGGAAAATAGTTAAGAAATGAATTTCTTGATAGACTTGCTCTCTCTTCCTTCTTTTCTCTTCCTCAAGAAGTTATATGAAAAATATTTTGCCCATGAAAGGCTTGAGGTTTTACTGGTGATTACTGCTTCTTATTTGGTAGTATGCAAATATGGGGGGAAAAATAGCCTTCACGCAAGTGACTAACATTTCTCAGAAGTGTTTCCCTTTTTTTCCTTGCTTTTTAAAGATATAGGCAGGCAGTTGGAGAGCAGAAGCATGACTCAGAGGGCCTATCTCAAACTTTCTCTCATGATGATGCTCCATGGCGAAGTCCAGTCCAACACATTCAGTTGGACAACAAGAAATTTAAAACTCAGTTGGCACCAAGAGCTTTACCTAAAATGGTGCGGTGTTTAAGGGGGCCTATATCAAATATATTTTGAGATATTATGGGGTGAGCTCTTTCCATAGAATGGGGGTTAGAACTTTCCTCCATTTTCTTCATAGTGGTTTGAGTGCTAAAGGCAACAGTGGGATTTGGAAGAAGAGATCCAAAACAGATGCACTAGACTGAAGCAGAACTATTGCAAAATCCAACTCAAACTGGAATCATCTGATGTCCTATGGAGCCTGCAAGATGAGTGAATTTGGAGGGTGTTGGGATGTTTAATCATTTTTTTTCTCTCCTATTCTTGTGTCCTGCAGGCCACAGCCCCTTTCCTGCACATAGGAGCGCTTGCGGCGGTCACAGCCCTGTCGTGGTTGATAGCGGGGCAGTTTGCACGAACGGAGAAAGCCAGTGAGTACCCGCTGGACATCTCATCTTTCACTCTGTATAGATCACTTCTGTCCTTGTGTGGTGGTCAGGGGCTGGTGGGTGGCCACCATGGTGGTGAATCCAGCCAGCAGAAGCCAGGGCTGGCCCCTCCAGGTTCCCTTCCAAGGGGGTGAGCAACCTCCAGCTCAGCTTTGTTGGGGAGGTGGATGTTCACAGAGGAACGAGGCCGAAGCTGGTCTGGGAATGCACCCAGATCCCACAGCTGATGCTTAGCTGTTGGAACAACAGCCCAGTTGGAGGTGACAGGACGGTTCTCAACAATGCAATGAATAAAAGCACCTAGACTTCCCCTAATCCGCATTACAATACATAATTGCATCCTCTCCAGATAACGTGCAATGTTCTACGTTGTTTAGTGGGTGACACTGGTGTAGGAGGATGGTTGGACCAGATGAACTTGAAGGTCTTTTCCAGCCTTTCTGATTCTACATTTCTAAGTGCTGCTTGAAAGCCTCACTAGCTGAGCAGAGATCTGACCCCCTGGTGGTTAGGTGCTTCTGAAACATGTGAGATGTTGAAGGTCACGCTTAACACAGCTCTTCTGGTTGATGAGCCCGTCCACTGAAACAAGTTCTTCTGATTTCCCCTTCCCCACCTCATCGCCAGGGGCTCTCCCAAGCCTGGGCTGTTCCTTCAGGTTTTCTTGGGAAATAATTTGCTCCTTCTGTACCCACAGGGTTTTTTTTTCCTAAGGGTGTCTGTGGATGTCCTCAGACACTTGTGCCAGCTGCAGAACAATGTTTTTAATTGGTATTTAACCTGTAGGAAAATACAAGCCCTGGAAGGATTTGGCAGCACTTGTGAAAGGCTTCCAAGAAGTGGCTGTTCAGCATGAGGAAGTGATGTCTGGAGATGGTGACTGGAGATTGAAAGATTTTGATATCCAGAGAGACCTCTCAAAGAAAGAATTGTTCTGCCTTAATTTATAAATATGCCAAAAGAGCTGAACCTGGTTCTTCTTAAATATTTCCTAGCATGTAATTAGGCTGCCAGTTGGGGGAGGATTTGTGGTTGCACCTAGAGCAGAGACTGCATGTGCTCCTGAATTCTTCGCACCTTTCCTCTTGCAGTTGCATTCCCTGAATTATTTTAATATATAGGTTAGGAAGCTGTTTTGCTTCTCTTCTTCTGTTCCTGTATTCTTTTTTAATTTTTGAAAGACTACCATGCATCTCACCTGTATCATTGGCTCTTAAAACTCCCTGTTTCTCTCAGGGTCATTTTACTTGTGAAAAATATACGGATGAGTTCACATACTTCTTGGTGCAGATATGTTTGACATGGTGGTGTTGAAAAAAAAGTGAAATCTCTGAGAACATACAGCTCCTTATAATGGGAAAATAGTATTTCACTCAATAATAACCTTTTGGAAATAATTGGTGCAGCTAGAGTCATTGCTGCAACAGTATGTTCTTGTTCTTCCTTTGAGGCATCTGATACTCTTTGGCATTTGGCTTTTTTTTTTTTCCCTTGAGTAAATTGCCCCCCCCTCCCCCCTTTTAGTCTTCTGAATTAAAAAATTAACGTCTAGGTGTTTTTCAGACTTGCAAAATTAATACTTCTTGAATGATTCTAGTAGTTTAACAAATAAAATAATTGCAGGTTGTTCTCAAAGCTTGTTTCTGAGGTCAGATAAAGAACAGTGAACTCAAAACAGGAGGATTAGAGAAAGAAGGCTTGCATCAAAAACTGTCATTGGGACTTTCGTGTTGCACAAAATGGGAGATCTGTCCTGCTTGCTTGGCTTGGGTAGTCACCAGGGGACCTTCTTCCAAACAGACTATCTAATTGCCAAGTTACAGAATCACAGAATCATTTAGGTTGGAAGAGACCTCCATGATCACCTAGTCCAACCCATGACCTAACACTAACAAGTCCTCCACAAAAACATATCACTAAGCTCAACATCTAAACGTCTTTTAAATACCTCCAGGGATGGTGACTCAACCACTTCCCTGGGCAGCCCATGTTAACAGCAAGTACTTTGTCTGTATTTAATTTTATTTTTTTGTGTGTGCATTGTCTCAATTGCCCTGAATGCACGGTTGGGTGTAGTTTTTATGGATCATTTTTATAACGATGCATGTTGGGGCATCATTTCCTTGAACCTGCAGGCAATGATCAAGAGACAATTCAAGCCTATGCATTTCTTTGGTCTGAATCTGAGCTGCTTAATCCCTAAACTGCAGTGACATGAAGGAAGGGACCAGATTCTTTGCACAGCCTGGGACTTTTCAAAATCAGCCCGATTGCCAGTGAGCCTGGCTGGTGTGTGGTGTTCCTAGGGTGCACAGGAACTGGGATCACCTCCTATGTCCTTCTGGTGGTTTTGATGCCAGTAGCTCAAGCCATTCAGATCCTTGAGTGCTCTGGGGGTGATTGACATCTCTGCTGGAGAGAGGAGGAAAAATTATCTGGCAAAGTTACTAATGTTACATCCTGGCTTGTAGGAACATGCGTGAACGAGGCTGTTAGATGCTGGACTCAAAAAGAAGTTGATTTGTGTGTTGAAACCAGATCAGTTGTGGTCAGGACCATAGCTGGGTTGGGCTGACCTTCCTGTTTAAAACAAACAAACAAACAAACAACAACACAAAAACAACCTTTTCCTACCTTGTGTTCATTACAAATATATGTTTAATTTTTTTTGAGGCTTTCCCTAAAGTTCCAAAGCCTTAAGGAGTTAAAAAAAAAAAAATGTTAAAAGAACAGAGAACCAAAAAGCAACTTTTGCTTTAATACCTGTGTATTCAATTAAATCTAAATATCTGGGGAGTTCAAAGGTGCCTGCTGTTCTTTGTAAGGAATATGCATTTGCTGTGGACAAGGGATGCTTGTGTTGTGCTGTCAGCACCTTTGAAAGATTCCCAGGCACTGTGAGAAGTCTGTAATGCAGCTGCTTGCAGAGACCCTGGGGAGTGCAGCACCATCACAACCCAAGGGATTCATTCAAATGTGCCCATCGTAATTAGTAAAACATCACTGCAAATGAACTCGGTTCTGCTGGCAGAAGTTGTTAAAGTGCCTTTACCCTGGCTGAAACAGGTGGTGGTGGTGAATTTCACAAGGTGATGTGAAATGCACCATGGTGCCATGACTTGCAGATATTATTTATTTTATTATTATTTATTAATTTACTATATTTACTATTATTTAGCGAGTGCCCTGTTCCTGCTGTCAGGCAGGGCAAAACTTGGTGCTGGCCTGCCTGTAGGGCTAGAAATAATCAGGTTTGGGGCTGTATGGCTGGGGCTTTTAAGAAGCTTGTTTAATTCTTGTTTCCCCAGTGTAAATTGAAATCACAGAATCATAGAATCTCCTGAGTTGGAAGGGACCCATAAGGATCATCGAGTCCAACTCCTGGCTCCACACAGGTCTACCTAAAATTGGGTACCAAATGAAACCTCCCACAGAACTTGACTAGTCCAAAGAGATTTTCTTTTATAATATATTATGTTTTTCCTTAAGCAAGGACCCTGTTGTTCTAGGGGCAGTGGCTGCAGACTGGTCTCCCCTCTGGAGGAGGAGGAAGGTCTTTTGACTTCGCTCTTGACTTGTAGTAGGATGAGTTCATGACCAATGTCCTCACCATCTTTCTCTTTCTACTCCAGCTTCGCAGATGCTGATGTTCACTGCATACCTTGCGGTCGTAGTTGCACTTTACCTCGTCCCCCTCACCATCTCGTCCCCTTGCATCATGGAGAAGAAGGCTCTGGGCCCAAAGCCAGCCATCATAGGTCACCGTGGAGCACCAATGGTGAGTGGCTTCACATTAGCCGTGCTGTAGTGCCTGCCTAAAATATGATACTGGACCTGGTGGTCTCCAGACTGCTCTCAGGAAAATATATATGGCACTTGCCATATATATTATTGCCATATAATATATATATATATTATTTTATATGATATGATTTTTAGATCTTCAGGCTTGGGCTTTGTGTCCTTTGCAGGACCTCACCAGTAGTTATTAAATTCAACTCCCAGCAAGATGCCTTGTGTATGTGGTAATCTGCAGAAACGAAAAAACAAGGGAGCTGTGCTTGACCCTACATGACTGCACTGTACTCTTGCAGTGCAGATCATCGTGAGACAGAGGGAGGTGATGAAACAGTCCAGTCACCTGTCTCTGGGCAGACCTTGAAGTCGTAGTCCTTTCTCCTCCAACATTTCTGGTCATGTCCAGGCTAAAGATGGGCTTGTTGGCGTGGGCACAGCTCTGGGCTTAGATGATGCTCTCCTGTGGTTTTTGGATATACTGGTCTGGGTCTGAAATTTGAGTGCTTCTGCTCCTGGGCCTCCATTTCTCTCTGCTGGTTAGCTGATCTCATACAAGATGGCACACTGCAGTATTGCCACTGGCCTTGCAAATGTTCTTTTTAGGCACCCAACTAGCTTTTCTGCTTACATTCAAAGAAGAAAAAAATCTCTACAGGTTGTCAAGACCCATTTGGCAAACTGGATTGTGCTTGAGCTCCTCTCCAAATCCAAGAGTGCACTGGGAGAGATTAACATCTGCCATGACCAAAAGTATTTCATTTCAGTTCTCTCTCTTTAATGATTTATTTCTTTAAGGACCCCCCTTGAAATGCCAACTTGCACCACTCTTCTAACTGTACTGCTTCTGTGGGTGATGGAATGAAGTTCTGGGCATGACAGATTTTTTTTCATTTTTATTTTTTTCCCGTCCTGCTGAGTTTGTACCAACTTTGAAGGCCAGAAGGCTGCGTGAGAACCTGGTCTCTGCATGCTTCCTGCATGGCAGGAAACCACAAAAATTTGTTAGGCTTTCTTCCTGTAGGGTTTCTAGACCTGTGCAGCCCCCTGTAGCCATCTAAAGGCACCAAACAGCAGCAGACAAAACACTTCTGTTCCCCAGATCGAACTAATTAACAGAAAACTCAGCTTGCCTTACCTGGAACAAGATTCCTAGCAGAGACTTGGTAGTTTGCTTTGCTTCAAATTCTTCCTTGGAGCCAACAAACAGTCCTGACAGTATGGAATAACCACGTCTAAGAAGCTTCTTGCACGTTAGGGTGAAGAGGGCTGCAAAGACTGATCAAAAGCAGTGATAGAGGCTGCTTGGTGCAGCGTGTGGAACTGTGGCCCAGGTGTTGTTCAGCAGGATGTAGCCTTCACCATTCCCTGATACAAAGAGCTGGTTGTCTTCTACCAGCAGATGGTTTGCCCTGAAACCTGCAAGAAGCAAGACCAGAGGCTATCAAGCCTTACTCCAAGCTCCAACAGCAGTCTGCATGTCTCATTGTGCGTTGGCAGTAGGCTTACACGACTTTTATCTTTGCCATATGTGTAGGGAGTGTGCTCTGTCTGTGCCCTTGAATGGCAAAAAAGAAGGATGAGAACCAGATAGAGAAGGTCAAAATGTTCTTCTGGACTTCCATCGGTGCCTGGCTTTTCACTTTATCAAATGTCACCTTGACTTTGAAAAGTTTCATCTAGTATCTATAGTGCAAGTCTTCATGTCTGCTTGGAAGCTCATGATCCTGAAGCCTTGCCAAAAGGCATTTCTGCTAACAGAGTCAGGTTTTCACAGGGCTATTTACTATGTAGGTGTTTGAAGAAATGGCCAAGTGGAGCCGGAGAGAAGAAAATAGCTGAGAGAAGAGTCTGAGCTGTGGGACACAGACATCCACCCTTGGGCAATATCAAGATCAAAAGTCTGGAGCCTGGGAGTTTGGGTCCTGAGGTGATACTGCATCTAGTGGGACTGGAGATGATCAACAGCAATGCAATGCTTCTTTCAAATCTCCTGAAGCAAGACAAATTGACCTGGGAGCTGTGCTCTCTGGTACAGCCTGATAGCTGGCTGCTTCACCAGTCTGGCAGGACTGGGTCTGTAAATGCTGCATTTGCATGACCAGTGCTCTTCTGCTAGAAAGAAGCACAGAGCTGAGTGCTGTTCTGATGAGTAGGGGATCCGTGGGATGGCTGAAGATGCTTGCTGTCCTTAAATAAAGGATTTGTTGGGGTGATGGCATGTGGTATATGTGGCAAAAGGTGGTGAAATTGAGAGTTCCCAGGAAAGCCCATATATATGTGCTTCTTGAGGGCTACAGTACCTGGCACGTTGGCTCATCAGTGTATGGAAACTGCTTCTCCCAGAGGGGCAATGAACTTCTCTAGAGCCTGCTGGCTTCCATGCGTGCACACACCCTGTCTCTCTTCTTTCCTCTCTTTAGGATTTCTGAGAGTGTAATTCGCAGCATCTGAGTGCAATTCAACTGCTGTCCTTGTTCAGCGGAGGAAAAAAGCGAGGAACAGAGGCCATATGGCTCATATAAATTGTCTCAAAACACCAGTGCAGGGAAATGTCCTTGCATTTTAAGTAGCGAGGGAAAATTGGAAAGCATCCTGGCATCAGTACCTAGATGAAGTGTGGCTTTTTGCAGTACAGGAGAGCTACAGGCACCACACCTGGTGCTCCTCCAAAAACAATGTCTCTTTGGTATCATCCTTCCCCTTCCTCCCCCCCATGTGCTTTAATTCATCACTAGAAATGCTTTCTGCCTAATTCCTTCTACCTTCTATTACCTAAATGTCACCAGTCATCCCCACTTTTCACTGTGCTAAATGTCTTTTCCCATCAGGGTGCTAACTAAAAGCCCCTTCTTCTAGCAGGCGTTTAATCAATTAGTTTCTTTTCAGGGGCTCTTCTGAAGTTAACTATTCAGCCTCTGGGTCTGTTTCTGTCCATCTGGAGTCCTACCAGGAGAGCACGAGGATTTTGGCAGCAGTGTGCTGGGCACTGAGGGCACCAGACCTCACTTGATGTCTATCAGTTTAAAAGGGTCTTGTCCTGATGGGAGCAAGAATTATCTGACACCCAGGTCTGAATCATGAGATGGGGGCTCTGCAACTCGTTCGTGTTAATAAGTTAAGCACATCAGATGGTTTTATAAACAGGCGTCTGGTGTCTTTGGTCTTGGTTTATTCTTCTTTCATCGATCTAGCTGTGTTCTGTCTTCAATGCCAATGGATTTGTCTTCTCTTTCTGATGGTTAGTGTTCCGCCCGTGCTGAGAATGAGCTGAAACAAGGGTGAGAGGTAGAAACTGGGACCAACTCTAATATGAAAATAAGGAACTTCATCCAGTAGGTCACCAGCTTCTACTGCTGTTTGTGCCTTTGAAGTATTCTCCCAGATGGTTCTTCTCGCAAGGTGCTGGGAGTTGAGGCAATTTGTCTTTGGGTTTGGGATCCGAAGAAGGTGCTCTTCATGGTGTTGAATGATATTTGATTTTAGGCATAGTCCTTAATTCCTAATCCTAATTTTAGTCCTTAATTCCTGGTCTCCTAATTCCTTAGGTGAAAAGTTAGGCTCATCACGATGATCTTTGATCTCAAATTGTAGCTAAATCACCCAAAAGATTAATAACATTAAGAACTTATTTCAGCTCCACCTCCTATTACTGTGGCCAAAAAGGTTCTTTTTGAAGAAAAAAAAAAAAAGAAAGAAAACAAATCAGGGCTAAACCTGTGGAAATTGTCCAAGCATGTCGGAGGCAAGAACGGCTCCCGATTTCAGAGCTGGAGGCTACAAATAGCATGAAAATAAATGCTTTTGGCAAGCCACCCAGACAGCTGGTTTTCAGCATGTCTCGACAGCGCTGTCTCAACATCTGTCTGCGTGCTGCGAAGCACGTGGGGTTTACATGCCGTCGACCTCCTTCCTTCTTGGCAGGCAGCAGCTGTCTCGGCGCCGCACACAGGCACGGTGCAGGGAAGAGCATTTTTGGGCAGCGCTGACTCATGGGCTTTGCACAAGTTTAGAATGGAAAAATACCCATTGTTGGGACATAGTGCTTTGGGGAGCCAGTGTTTAATTGTGCTTAGGATTTGCCTTTTGGGGTGTTGCAGGGGAATATTTTGCCTTGGCAGGGAGCACACCATAGTGGTCCCAGGAAAATTCTAGCAAATGCATCCTTGCACATGTGGGGTGTTGTTTTTTATCACCCCTGAAGTTGAAGCCTCCAACATACTGGCATTTCTGGGGTGCTGTTTTTGTCATCTTGTAATATCAACTATTGATGAAACCAATGGTGAAGATTTGCCCCATCACTGGAGGTGTTCAAGGCCAGGTTGGATGGTGCCTTGGCCAACCCGATCTAGTGGGTGGCATCCTTGCCCATGGCAGGGGTTTGGAGTTGGATGATCTTTAAGGTCCCTTCCAACCCGAGCCATTCTATTGCTTTTGGTTGGAACTGTGGCTTATTGAGAGCCTTGTTGAGCTAATGAAGATCTGGTGATTTTTTTTTTTTTTATTGCTTTGTTCTTTTTTTTTTTTTTTTTTTTTAGGTGTGTTGGAGGGCCTTTCTTTCATTTTAAACTTGGATACCAAAACGTTGCAGCCACCTAATTGGGATGGCTTTGGTTTTTAAGGGCTCAGACTGAAATGGTTCAGTTTGTACTGCTTGTGCTGCTGGAATCAGTACATCTTTGCTGTCTGCTTTATGCACCCCCACCTATTAGATATGGCCAGGTAATCTGTCCACTGCTCCAACTAATAGCAACAATCACACTTTGTGTCTTCTGTCAGGCCTGGAGAAAGGCTTGAGTTCATTGAAACCATTCTATATATGATTAGGCAGTATTTCATTAAATCAAGCTTCAGCGCTAGCATGTGATGCAAGATTAGACCTCATGATTGCTGTATGCCTAGTAATTAAATCTCTAATGGCTTTTTGCTTAAAATCCTATCCTGTTGTCCAAGGCAATATTTTTTTTCTTTATTTTACTCCTTCACTACTTTTCAGTCTAGCTGAGATGTTTCCAGAAATGCTGGATGTGGATGTTCTCTAAAATACCTTGAATTCCTGGAGATTAAAGATGCATATTTTTAAAACCGTATTGTTACTGCTTCCTAGTGAGCTGGCATAGTGGGGCCTAATCCTGAAAGCCAAAGTACTGACAGATCCCAGGCTTAGCCCCACAAAGGGAACTTCCAAAGAGCATCTTTTTATGGCAAGAAAAACTCCAATTCTCAGCTATTGTTGTAATCATGCCTTACTTTTTAGTCCAGTTATTGGCTTATGAGGAGATGAAAGGGAAGGGAGAATTCAAAATGAATTTTAAAATGATGGAAATGGATGAAAAATATCCTTAAAGCTTGCTGTAGCTGCAGGTGCGGTTTGGAACAAATTTAGTTCTTGGGTGCAAGCTTCTTTGTTAGCCTCTCTAACATGCAAATGATACGGTGATTTATTTACTTATGTTTTAAGTCCTGGCAAGCTGGCTGTTAGAGGGAAAATGGAGTGTAGTGATGTCCAACTGGCCATGCTGTTAACTAGCATACTTTCCCAATATTTGTTAAGGAAGGTCCAAAGCTCCTGACTTCAGAGCTCCATTTGAAAGCACTTGCAATTGACTTCTGAGCACAAAAATAGTCAAAAATAAGTTCATTCATGGGCAATTTTCTAGAAATTACCTCCTGCGTCTCGTAGCAGGAAAATATGAATAGCAGGATGATTTTTTATTTTTATTTTTATTTTTTTATTTTTTTTAAGAGATGAGCCCATCAAACCAATTGCAAAGAACAGAAACTTAGAAACTTTGCATAGTGGCTGTCTGTGGCTTTCAGGGGATGTTGGCATGGTTTGTAGGATGGATTTTGGGGTGAAATCATTGCCTCGTGCCCCAGGGCTTCCTTCACTTCAATGCTGGCTTCTTAAGAAACGGGTTGTGTCCAGTTGCTGTGGGTCTCTGCAAACCTGGATTTGGGTTTTAGACGTAATTTACTTGACTGTGTTGTACAAGGAGGAGAGCCAAAAAACAAACTGGAGGGAGAGAGGGTAATGCAAGCAGAAAGATTATGTATTTATTTATTGCAGTTTTGCTGTAAAACACTAAATCAGCACTAAGCAAAAAACATCTTGCACCAGCAATTGTCCCATTTAGACATCTCTGTACTAAACAGTCTGACTTATTTATATATATATTTTTTTATCTCCATCTTACTTGGAAAAAGACAGATGCAGGCAGGGATGATGGAAATATCTGTTACCGATTCTCCCTGTTCACAACAAGCTCACACTGCAGGGAGTGTGAACTTGATGAAGAGCACTGTGGTGTGACAGAGGCTATCTGTAACACCTGCTATCATGGGGCACGGCACTGAGGAGGGCACTTCTGCTGCCATCCGTGCTGCTTGCTGATTCAGAGCAGCCAGGGATGTTCACCCATCTGTGACGCTCTTCAGGATGACGCTCTTCACGTCTAGTGGTGTCGTGATGAAGGTGACGTTGCAGCTCCAAAGCGTGCATTTTGATGGCCAGATCTGAAGTGCCAGCCTGTTTGTGGAATAATTTCGAGCACTGCTTCCTCTGCACAGCTGCAAAACTCAGCGTGAATCAGCATGAAGTTTAGTGAGTTCATCTAACTTGCCTTTGGGGGTCAAGTTCCTGGGAAAGGAATGGACAAGCCTCATATCTGACCAGCTGCATGCAGCCCTGATAGGGTTCAGCTAAGTTTTGTCCCTCTTAATATGCAAAGTTTGATCTGCAAGCTCTGTAGGGGCAAGAGTGGAATATTCCACTCCAGGGGCTGGGATCTTCTCTCCATGGGGTCAGGCCTTGTGGCATCTTTTTAAGCGCTGAGGATGGGACAGCCATGGTGCACCAAATCTTGAAACTCAGTCTCGGTTTTTAGCTCACTGCAATCTGTTTTATAGCACTGCCTTTAAGATGCATGAATGTCACTGCTGTCTTTACGTGGCCAAAATTATCCAGGCTGACAAACTGAAATCCTATCCCCAAGATACTGCTTTTTTTTTTTTTTTTTTTTCTTTTTTTTTTTTTTTTCTTTTCTTTTTTCTATGTATCTTTCATCTATCTCACCTATCGCTTCTGTATGCAGTCTTGGCTCTGCTCTAACTAACGTTTCCCCAATCTGATGAGGAGGGTGATGAAGGCTTGTGTGTACTGACTTGCTTCCTCAGATCTGTTTTGCTCGGTTTCCTTCCAATAATGCCTCCAGCAGTGCAGGCTGTGACTTCCCCACCATTCAGGTTAAAGCTTCCTCTGCGTCTCCAGCCAGCTGCAACCTAGGAGGGCTGGTGCCCAACTGATCCTGGCCCTAAAAAAAAGACAAAATACACTTCAGAGGCAACAACAGCCAGTGTCCTTTCTGCATGAGGACTGCTGTGCCAGAATTTGATGCCTAGCTACGACATAAGACCTTGGCCAGGTCTTATTAGAGGGAGAATATGTTCTGGCCAGGCTTGCTTGCCCTCTTTAGCCCTGCTTTGTGCAACGTGAGCTCTTAATTGCATAGGGGGATGACAGCAGTGTCAGTCCTCTTTGTCCTACCCTTGTTGAAGGCTTTAACATCGATTGCTTAGTGGAGGGAGTTCAACCTGTCCTCTCCAGTCTGCCTTAGCCCAAGAGATGATTTATAACTCAGTACACTTTGCTTTTCTGTTCCTGGTACATTCACATCCATGATGAGGATGCTCAGAAGGGTGTGGGTTTGGTGGCTGCTTGAGGCGTTGTCACCTCCTGAGCTGGGACTTGGGTTGCATCAACTCATCAACCCTTCATGACTTGGGCTGGTGGTCTCCCATCACCCTTCAGCTTCTTTTCCTCATCTGCCTCTGGTTTGAACGCTGCCTGCTTTGTTTCCTTGTGGCTGCTGCAGTCTGAGAGCAAAGATCGAGCACTGCTCTGCGCCCAGCAGATCGCCTTGCAGTGCTCACCCTGAGGAAACCCGAGCTACTTCGGGACGAAACCCGAGATGCTCAAAGCAACCCAAGGAGATGGAGCAGGTTTTCCACGGCTGGGATCTTTATGGGGCTGCTGCTCCCTGCTGACAGCTCTGGGCATCGTGCAAAAATGCTGAAAAAAGCTCTCCTAGCCTGACCTGGTGTGACCCAGCACTGGGCTGTGCGAGGGGGTGTGATGGGGGTGATGCCTCTCGCCTTCTCCTAGACAACTCAGGCATTGATCAGGAGCCTTTTCGGGGAAGATAACAAGCCTCCGTGTTGCTTTTTGTTGAACAAACAGAAAAATGAACCGATATCGATGTGCGGTTTGAGCCAGGGGAATTCAGCAGAGAGATGCTGTATCTATATAAAGGTTGTGTTGCTCCTCTTTCAGAACAGAGTGTGTGGTTGGGTCATTTTACCCCAAAGCTTTGCTGACCTGGGTGTTTAAGTTGCTCAGTTCACAAGAAAACGAATGCTTCCTTATATATGTTTATATATGTTATATATAAGTTTAAATAGAAGTTTATTGTGCAATTTACTTGCATGGTGCATTTAGGTCTTTATTTATAAAATGATTCATCTTTCCCAAACCCTCAGGAACTGCTGAAAAACACGGATTGTGAATGCTCATTGTCTCTTGGTGGAAATTTACTGATCCTGATGGTGGCAGGGATGGGTGGGGAAAAATAGGATGTTAGAGGTGCTCTAAACCTGAAAGCAAAATTGGAAAATAAGAAAATGATTTTTCAAAATAGAGCTATTTTGATGTACGTGATGTGCACATTTCAGTGCAGCCTGTCAGGTTTTTCTTTGTAGTTGTCTGTTTTTTTTTCTGGTCTGCCTCTTGTTGGTTTATGGACATTTTTTGGGCTAGCTATGCTGTACTGGTTTTGTAGAAAAACACAGTATGAAGATAAATACTTTATTGTTTTTAACAGACCCTAATTCGACTGTCATCTGTTTCATTCAAAACAATGGAATTTGAACTAAAATTTGTGTCCTTATCTGTGATAGCTATAAAAGACTCATTTTGTAGGTTTAGTATATTTTTTTAGTATTATTGTTGATAAGAACTTACTGGAAAATTTGTTATTAAGAGAAATCAACTGATTTTTAGTTTTAGCAATAGATTACTTTATTGACTGGGTATATGTGAAAATAAAATGTGTGCTACAGAACCTGTGGTCTGGTTGTTCTCCATGGTATGGATGATACATTGGTTTATGGACTTACGTCTTTCTATGAGGGCATTGTGATCACTGTTTGCATAGAAAAATAGGAGAATAAAACTATTAAGGTGTTTTTGGCAGCTCTATCTGTGGATAGAGAATTAGCATCAGATTAACAATTACTTTGTGGATCCTCAACAAGCCAGTCTGGGGACCACACTGGTGAGCAAATGTCTCATACGCTAATTTTGTGACAGACCTGTGGGGGATGCTGGTACTCCAGCATAACTGGCCAGCATGTAGTCTGTGAAACAAACTTGTTTTGGCTCCCTAATTTTTCTATGCCTTCTTCACAGCACCCTTACTGATGCTGCTTTGTAAACATGCCTACTTTCTGCTAATCTCCCATTGCTCTTTCTGTCCCAGTTGGCACCAGAAAACACCCTGATGTCCTTCCAGAAGGCAGTGGAGCAGAAGACGTATGGAGTCCAAGCTGATGTCGTACTGAGGTAAGCCCCAGTGTTAATTGCTCTGAGCATGGATGCTTTGTGGACAGCCCAAACTCTGCTTTTGGGTCTCTTCTATCTGCTGTCTGGATGTTACTGCTCTCTCCCATTGAATGGTGAATGTATCGTATAACTCCCAGCTGTCTGCACTTACACTGCATGGACACCACAAATTGTTCCACTTAAACGTGACTTCTCCTGGGAGAAGCAAAGACCCAAATTGCCTTCCTCATGCTGCAGGTCTTTAGGAGGGTTTTACCAGCCTTGCAAAACTGTCACAAGAATTTAGCAGCCCAGGAGTAAAATCCTTCTCCTCCTGCCTTCCTTCACATAACCACAGTGCTGGGAGAAGGAGGAACCTGGCCATACTGCGCCTGTCAAAGTCTTTCCTTGCAGGCAGATGTTGAGCAGAATTGACAAGGCCAATTTAGACATCATTTAAAGAGGATTATTTCAAGAACCGTGCTTCATGCCAGGAGTGTGATCGTTGTCTAGTATTATTACTCCTTTTCCTTGTATATTTTACATAAATGTGCAAGAAGGTGGAAGCAGCATGAAGGGAACTACGGTGCTTTATCTTGGTGATCCCTCAGTTTGTCTAAGTTCCAGTTATAAACACAACAAAAACACTGAGCTGATTTTTTTTTTCATGACCCGTTTGAAGGTTGATGTTGATGGAAAGATCTTTTTGTCTGGTGGAAGATGGGCTTCTGGAGCTCGTCATGGTGCTTTCTTACTTTCCATCGCTGTTTGAGAGCAAATGATGTGAAAACTAAAGGAGTTTCTTCCCCTTGGGGAGTGGAATGTCATTGTGGATGGATGAATGATAAACTGGGATGTATACAATAAAGTTGTTCCTTCAAAAATTCCTTTGTTAACAGTTGTGAAGGAAGAGCAGCTTGGCTATCCAGAATCAGAGATGAGCACTTATTTCATCTGGTGGCCTAATGGGTTGCTTCCCTTAGTCCTGGCCAAGGAGAAGGTTGGACTCTGGGAGGAGGAGATCTTGAAAAGCTCCAAGAACTTCCCACGTTGCCACCCATCAGACATCCCAGAGGAGCATCCCAAGTGTCCCACAGCTTAAATGATGCCCTTAATGGCTCAATTTTGTGTCAATTTATAAGCTGCTTTATAAAAAGAGGACCTCAGTGACCTTCAGACCAACAGCAGAGCTGTCAATACAGTTGGCAGCAATTTTGGGAAGGGTTTGCAGCACACTGCTGTCCTTATCACTTTGAAAGATGCTTCTTGTGCCTGTGGCTTGGTGGGCCTCCCATCTTCCACCTCCTCCTCTGTCTCTTACAAAGCTCTGGTTTCTCTCCATTATTTTTTGCAAACCAGTGCCTGCTTACACTTCATGGTGAGCCCTGCATGGCACTGAGTAACTCCATAAGTGGAAGGATTAGAGACAGGAGGGAGTAAATGTTAAACACCCCATCAGATTTCCACGCTGTGGTTAAGGCTTAGCCCTGTCTGATGATGCTCTGCTGCGAGACGTTGAGACTTGAGCTCCTGTCTCCCTTGAACGCTCCATGCTCTTAATTCTGCAGTTGCTTAGCATCTTTTTTTTAGCTGTAAATACCAAAAACCCTTCTGATTGCAGCAGCGTGGTGGTGCTGTGTCAGCACGTTGCTTTGGGTGGAGAGGGGGAGGGAAGCAGTTGGCATAATGCACACTAGAAATAGCAAATGAGATGCAAGTGACCTTTGTGACAAGGGACTTCTGCAGGCAATGGGAAAGCTGAGGCAGCATTTGCTCCATCATCCAAAATCTTTTTTTGTTCTCCTTATAGCTCTGGGGGAGTGCTTGTCCCTTAGTTCATATGGGTTTCGTTTAACTCCATCTCCTTTCCAGACCTTATTTTCTGAATATGAAGATGGGAATCTTGCTTTGGAAAATGTTGTAGAAGCCTGCATGGCCAGTCAGATATCTTGGTATCTGAGTGCAGACAGCTGTCCCCCAGCTGTCCCCCAAACCTTTATTGCTCTGGGTGGTGTCACCACTGGTCCAGCCACAGAAAACTGGGCTGAAAAAGAGATTGAAGAGCATTTTAGGTTTCCCAGAGCTGCTCTTCTGTAATATCTAGGTGGCTTAAAATAGCATTTGGCTGGTTAGATTCTTCCAAGAGGTGGTGGGCTTTCTTCAAGATGCTTGAACTTAGCTACTCACACGAGCCTGGCTGTTTCCTGAAACCTATTTCAAATTGGAAAAGGTTATTTCAGAGCAATTTTGCTAGCTTGGGGCCCTTGAATCATGCTGAAAGCCCATGAACATTAAGTTCCTATGTAGTCTGAGAGCCTTACTCATCATCTGCTATTAACAATTTGAGAATAGCTTGTGCATGTGTGGATGTGTCTGTGGATACAGGCTATGGGAAACCTCTGACAGCTTTGGAGCTACAGAATTTGTAGGCATTTTTGGTTGATGTGAGCATTCAGGGTGTCTCCTTTTGGCCAAGCTACATGAGTCTGGCACTCTAGACGTTTTTGAGTCAGAGACTCAAAATTTTGGGCTGGATGGGGTTATGCCAGCAATTGAATTAATGCAAACATCTAGAAGATATCTGTTTTTTCCCTCTGGTTGCATCTCATTTCAACTGCTCTTGAGGGGGCTGAGGATGTGTTAAGCTGGTCAAGATCTTCACAAAGACTTTGATGTGGTCCTCAAAGCTGTAGGAGAAACTGGAGTGTGGGGATGGGCATTTCTCTAGGGTGGTTTAAGGGTTGTTCATCTCCACCTGTAACGAGGTCCTCTGTCTGTCCATACAGCTACGATGGAGTGCCATTTCTGATGCACGACAAGACGCTCAGGAGAACAACCAACGTGGAAGAAGTGTTTCCCGAGAGGGCCTACGAGCTCGCCTCCATGTTCAACTGGACTGACCTGGAAAAGCTCAATGCTGGGGAGTGGTTCCTACGGGTGGGTATGGGTCCTGAAGCCATAGCTGTGGGATGAAGCTCATACCTAAACCCACCATGAGGTGAAGAGCAGCTCCTTGATGGAGTGGTCTGAAGTGCAGCTCAACCAAATCTCCATGAACTATTTAATTCTGTCCTCTATCCAAATTAATGCTGTCATTTTCTTTGCTGTTTAGAGCATCTTGGTAGGTAATCTGACCCTATCAAATCCAGGAATCTTTTCACTTGGTGGATTTAAATGTATATATATATTAACAGGCCTCTGTGGTGTTTGTGCAGTTAATTTTAGGATGTTGGTCTGCTTGTTCATGTTGCAAACCACAGAGCCTGGCATCCCACCCTTTGCATTCATAGCCTTTTTGGGGCTGAGGAGAATTTGCATCATCTTTCTGTGCCTCTTCCACCACTTGGAAGGAGGGAACCTAATGCCTGGTTGATACCACACAGAGCGTAAAGATCTCTGATCTGATTATAAGGAAAACAGAAGAGAGCATGCTATACCATTCCTTTTTCCTTCATTTGATTTTGGAGACAGTTGTTCTTGGGGGGAAAAAAATCAAAACAAAACAAAGCACGTTCAGCTTTCAAAGTCTCAAAGAAGAAACTGCTGTGGGATGGGCTGATCCACCTTTTGGTGTGCCGCCAGCTTGCAGGTGGGATTTCTTTCTCTAGCCTGCAGCTGTAACCTTCTTGGAGAGCATTAACTGTGGTCTGGAAGGAGGGCTGCAGCACTCTGGCACGCTTCTGCAAGCTCAGACAAGGCTTTCTGCAGTGATGTGAGCTCAGATATTGATATATACGTCAGGAGGATCCATCTTCTCCAACATCCCATAGCTCCTCTCTGATCCTCTTAGTTATTTTAAAAAGGTGCTTCTTTTTATTTTTGGATTCTGAAGGATCTTTGGTGAACACACAGTGTGGGAAAGTACCTTTTCAGCTTACTCCTTGCCCTAAAACTCTACTCTTCTCCTGGAAAAGTAGGGTGAGGAAAAATAGGGTGACTTACCCATGGGTGGGGAAACTGAGGCACAGAGAAATGCTCAAGCAGGATGGGCATTGAGTGTAGCTAACAGCATCCCCTGCTGTGGTCACAGTGGGGTGGAAAAGGAGTTTCTCCTGGAGATGGAGAGTCCGTGCTTCGTGGTGGTAATGCTGGGATGTGCTTTGCTTTCAGAACGACCCTTTCTGGACGGCTGGGTCTCTCTCGAGGTCTGACTACTTGGAAGCTGCCAACCAGTCGGTCTGCAAGCTGGCAGATATGCTGGAGGTGATCAAGGATAACACCTCGCTCATCCTGAACTTTCGGGACCTGCCCCCGGCCCATCCCTACTACAGCACTTACATCAACATCACCCTGAAAACCATCCTGGCGTCAGGAATTCGGCAACAGGCTGTGAGTACTGTGGGGTTGGTGATGGTTCCAAAATTGTACTCGTTATGGGTTCCCTGCAGCCCTGAGTGCCTCGTTTGATCCATTTGGACACCTGGTTTGTAATACTACTTGGTGCCAGGAAATTGTGTTGGGGAAGACATTACCTCCAGGCTAGTGGTCCCAGAGATGGTGGTAAGCATGGACCTTCGAAAGCCTGGTACCTGCTGATGCAGCAAAATGCCCTGGTAGCAAGGAGACTTAAAAATCTTGGGCTGTACTACTGGTAGGATAGCTGGGAGAAGGAGAGATGTGATTATTCCCATTACTCAGAAATCATGTGTCCATTATGGGGCTTCCACAAGGCAGATATTGATATACTGGGGTCAGTCCTGCAGAGGCCATCGGACTGGTCAGGAGGCTGGATGTTCGTGTAGGGGCTGAATGAACTGGATCTCTTCATCCTGGAAGAAAAAATAAAAAGGTTTTGGGAAGACCTACTAGCAGCTCTCCAGAACCATCAAGAAAGTTGCTGAGAAGTTGGACCCAAACTTCTCCCTGAGCTCCATGTCTGGAGAATGGGAGGTAGTGGTTGTAAATTAAACCACGGGAAGTTCCTGCTGGATGTAAATAAACTAGTTTTCCCTGCAGTGGCAGGAAAGTGTTGAAACAGGGACCCAGAGAGATTGAGGAGCCCCCCAGGCAGACGTGGACTGCTTCAGAGCTGTGTCCTGAGGCTGGTGAGGGAGGTAGCTTGAGTATTTCCTCTGTGCCAGTTAGGTGTACCCACGCGTACAGACAAGTGCAGCACTGACTTGTGCAATGACGGGTCCAGCAGGAAAAGTAGCAAACCGAATTCTCATGCTGGTCTGATACTTTAGTAAACGAGTGCAGGTGAGTTATTAAGCATGGGTTAAAGCAAAGCAATTCTCAGTGATGCTCCTGAGATCATCTGGTAGGGCACGGCACGAGCCATAAAACTGCCCGTCTTGGCTCCAGCATCCCCTTTACATCGTGCCCTGGGTTGGGGGTTGGAATAGATGTAGCCCTGATAAACGAGGGTGAATTAAACTGGTCTCAACTAATGGGACCATGTGTGTCCTGTCTTGTGCTGTCAGTTTTAGCCATTGTGCTAAAAAGGGGAGGCAGGTTTTTAGGGGTACACCAGACTCATGAGCACTTGGCTTGATCTCTTTGTACTTCTACCCTTTTCACCTCCAAAGCTGTATGTTCCAGTCCTCTGGGCTTGCCAGCTGTCCTGAAATACATTTATACAGAGATGTGGGAGGCTGCATGCGTCTTCTAGACAATTTATACGACAAATAAAGCAAAGTCTCTTGTGGTTTTGCTTCTGACTTGGTGTAAACTGGCTGTCAGCAGCCCTGCCTGGTGTTCCTCTCCTCTTTGCCATAGCCACCCTCTGTCTGACTGCCTCTGCAGGTGATGTGGCTGCCGGATGCGGAGCGGCAGCTGGTCAGGCAGATTGCTCCGGGATTCCAGCAGACTTCTGGCCTCAAGCTGGACGCAGAACGCATGAGAGAGAAAGGCATCGTGAGGCTCAACCTGCGCTACACCAAGGTCACGAACGAGGATGTCAGGTATGGTCCTCCATTTGGATGCTCAATTGCATCTGAAACGATACAGGCATTGTTTCAGATGGACTTGCTGTTCAAAACTTGAGCTGTGCAAGCTTGTCCCTACCCATTAACCACAAACCAGTCCGTTCCCAGGATCGCACAGCTGACTCGTGATGATCCAGTGCACAATGATCCTTTCTGAAACACAAATACACGAACAGTCTGATTCTTATTCCACTGTCATCCTTGGGGAAAAGTGAAGGTGTTCACTTCATTTTCATCCTCATTAGTGGCTGCCCTTTGCTTCTGTGAATCTGCTCCGGAGCTGCTATGACAGAATTTTTGATTAGTCCACCGTCTAAACTTGTTTTTAGAAATTTCTTTCTTACAGAGAATTCACCTGATTTGTTATTTTTTTTTGTCACCTATTTAGACTGGTCAGTTCTCTTATTTAATTAGAGTGGTACACCATGTGCAGCCTTCTTCCTAAGTATATATTTGAGACGTGTAATTTTATCTTGTGGCTTGGCCCTTTTCTAAGAAAAGGGTAGATTGTAGTAGAGCTTTTTTTCTTATTATTTTTGAGTTTGAATTTATTTCACAAAGAAATATTTGAAAAAAGAAGCATTTTCAGAGGAAATAAGTATTTTTGAAGGAGTTGTCTTATTATATGTTAGGTGCTGGGACTAGGGAGGAAGAATTGAGCCTGCAGGTCTTTGAGAGTGGTCCTATTTGGTGGTCCTGTTTAGTGTAATCTTTCTGTGGCTGCCAGCACTTGGTCTATCTGACCTTAAAATCAAGTCTGTGCTTTACCTCCAGGATAATTCCTGCTTTTTTTCATGGAGAGGACCATGTGCCAACTCTCATCTTCCCCACCTCATAAATCCCAAACTCATCAATCCCGCCTCAGCTGTCTCCAAAATCAGACCTGCCCACCTGAGTGTTTCTGGAACCCTAAAAGCTTTGTGGTGCCTGCTTGGAGCAGCTTGGTCGTGTGATCTTTGCTTTGTCCACATCCTGTACAGCTGCTTTCCTCCTCAAAGTGCTTTGGTAGTTATTAAATTGCAAAAGTTAATCTCTGTGCTGTCTGTGCCAGGGAGACTAGTGATGTTTCTGCTTTGTGGGTAAGGAAAAACAGCAATTTATGCAAATTGCAGGGGTAGAAGGGGTCCAATATTTGCTCTTGGTTCACTGCTGACGGCTCCTGTACCCCAGCTTTAAGTTTTTAGCCTCTTACACAAAATGACCTCTGGAGACTGGAAGCTGTAACGTCACAACTGTCCCTAAAACAAGGGCATAGGAGCTGTAGGAATTGATGTTGCAAACCCAGTCAGTTTTTAATTAAGTAGATTGCCTTCGAAGCGTGACAGGCATCCGAGCCAGATGTTAATTGTACATCAACATGATGAGGTGGTGGTTAGAGAAAGATGGTGCATCCATCTTTCACGAGGATGTGTCTGAAACGGGCTGTGGCCTTGGGCAGATAGTGGTTGTGGCCTTGGGCAGAGGATAAGAAAGCTTTCAAGTTCAAACCACTCGATTGCAATGCCCTTGGGTTGCTTATGAGGCGACTGTGCCCTATTAAAAACCCATTTCATGCACTTCTAACCCAATAAATCTGGATTTCAGCAGAGCAGCTGGTGTGGGAGCTCTCCTCTTTGAGCTGAGGGTCTGATGCTCGCAAGACTCACCCCTCGCCCCATCTGTCTCCTGGCAGGGACTACACCACGGCGAACCTGAGTGTGAATCTCTACACTGTGAACGAGCCCTGGCTGTACTCCATCCTCTGGTGCACTGGTGTCCAGTCGGTCACCTCCGACAGCTCCCACATCCTTCGCAAGGTGCCTTTTCCCATCTGGCTGATGGTAAGCACGAAGGCCAGGAAGGTGCTGGGAGCCTCTGGAGGGAGGGGACACCGTGGAGGGGTGGCCATGAAACACAGCATCCATGCAACTCGGGGGGTTTCTCCAAGAAGGTTTGCTTGGGTTCAATGTGCTGTTGAGGTTTTTCACCCTCTGTATTCCTGAACCCTGCAACGGGAAAGGATTAAAGCACCTCTTGCACAAGCCCTTCCTTCAGGTGGCCTCGCTTCTCCCCATGCAGGGTTTGGGGTCCTTGGAGAGCACAACGCACGTGCTGTTTAATCCACTCAACTTTTCCATATTCCTCCAATGGGGAAAAAAAAAATAATCCAGACCTGCTGCTAGATATGCAGGAGAAGCAGCAAACATGGCTTTGTGTTTTAGGCACGATGTAGAACTAGGTTTTTCACTGCTTTTAATACCAGACGTGGACAGGTTTACCTCTGGCTATTGCCAGATACCTCTCACGTAGCCAACAAACCCTCTGAAATCTCTGCCAGCACTTTGGGTCTCTGAGCCAAACAGAAATATTTGTGCTGGAGCAGAGGGAAAATATCTGCATCAAAACATTCCCAAAGCACGAGCTCAGCTATGGAGGCATACATGCATGCGCTGGGGCTCTTTTTTTGGTAACAGATCCTGATGGGGGTAGGACAGGAGGCAGCTGTTTTGCCCATTCTTCTGGTAGATCTCTTGGGAAAAGGGAGGTAAGATGAGCACAAGAAGAAGTTAACAGGCTTTAGTGAGTTATCCACATCTTTAGTGGGAGGTAGGAGCTTAAGATTATGAACATCTGTGCACAATGTCCTTAGCCTTAGCTTAACCTTCTGCTTGTGTCCGACTACACAAATTCACACTGGTGTGTGCTGGAAAATTGAAAAAGGTCACCAGTCTGAGGCTGTTGGAAGAAGAGATTATCATTGTCTAAACGCTGCTGCGGCAAACATCTGTCCTCTGCTACAGCTGGCAGGAGCTGTGAGCACATCGCTGGCAGCTTTTTGCTGCAAAAGCCTCATTGTCAGAGATGAAATGCAGCTGGTGTAGCTGGAGCCCTCCTCAAAGGGCTCTGCCATCTGCTGGATTTCCAAGTGAGCCCTCTGCTGTGAGCACATACCCCTAAATCCTCTGACATGCTGTAGAGGAGGCGTTTGAAAAGCTCAAGCCTGGGGTTCAGACCCCAGCTCGATATTCTCAAAGTGGGTGCCCAGTAGGGTGGCACTCCCTGCTTTTTTGGGGATTCTCCCTCAGATTTGAGCTGCCTTCTGGTTGGTTACGCTGAATTGATGAAGATTTTGAAGGGTTGCAGATGGGAGGGTTTCAGGAATAGGTCTTAAGCTGAGTAAAGGCTATTTTAAAAAATTAAATATATGGACCCCAAAGGAAGAGCCCTGCCCCAAAATTGGCAACTGTGGGTGACACAGAAAATTCCTGAGTAGATCTTAGTGTGGATGAGGCAGCACAATAAGTTGTCTCTGCATGATAGATGTCTGCTGGCCCATGCTCCCCTCTAAAGAGGTGAGAGCATGTCTTGAGTGCATGTCTTTAAACGTTAAAAGTAAGTAAATTAAAAAAAAAAAAAAAAGACAAAATCAAAAAACACCACTTTTCTCTTTTTGACCATATTGAAATTCCAATTTCAATAAACCTGCTCATAAAACCTTGTTTTGGTATCAAATCCTGCTAGCTGTGAGCCTTCTGCAGGACTTTACAGGTATTGCAGATTTTTATTTTTATTTTACTTTTTAAATCATCAACAGAGGGTCCTAGAGTTTGCCCAGAAAGTCATGTCTACAAATTGCTTGGGATATATCATCCAACCTTTGACCCACAAAATAACCTGATGTTTGTATCTTCAGTCGTGGAATGCTATTGCTTGGATAAATTAAAAATTTAGATGTGTAGGTTTTCTTCTAACCTAGAAGACTCCAGAGTTTTCCTTCAAAACAATTTTAATGGCATTCTTCTGCCAAGAAAACGTGAAATATCAATTTTGCATCTGTTGTTTTAGCAGATGCAGCAAATGTAACATTACAGAGAGATCTTCGTGCAATGTCTACACCCTGCCAAATGTCACCTTTCTGTAATTAAGCTGGGAAACACAAGGATTAAATCTCCATCAGAAGCTTTGGCTAATTAAAGTATTGCCCTACCAGCTCTGCAGTACATTTTCACAGGGTTACTTGAGACACATAAAGAGGTAGTGACCAGAAATCAAGTTGTTCTCTGCTGGGAGATGGAGGCAGCAGAGCTGATGGCTCCCAACTGGTGTTGCCCATGTCATCCTACTATTGCACGAGCTCTTCTTTTTGCATTATTTATTTTATTCCTCTAATGAAACATTACTTGTATGCATTAATGATGGTTGTGATGGATCTGTCTGGTAAGAAACCAGCAACCTTTCCTGGCTGGGGTCATGTTGTCAAGGCTTGGACTGGCAAAGCAGAAGTTTGTTGACTGTTGGTGATGGCTGGTGGTGGGAAAAACAGAAAATGGAGCCAGATGTCCCCTGTACCCTACAGGAAAGAAAATTAGAAATGTATGCTGGTAGTACAGGGACTGTGCTAAACAGCTGATATTAACACTCAGAATGGACCCTGAATCAGGCAATGGGTAAATTTTTGTTTTCCCACGAGCTTGGGTTTCCAAAAAGCCTCTTACCTCACCTAGGGGTACAGCTGAGATAGGAAACTCAACTCCAGCCCACAAAGCTCTGAGAACACATCAGCACATGAAAAGAGGCAGAGATTAAAATTGTTCCTTTTTGTGATTCTTCCTGATAACATCACTTTGGGTGATAGGCAAACATTAGAAATGTCATAAACTTTGTGATTTATACATGACTCCTTCATCTCTGTGCTCTTCTTTCCACCCTGGTGGTAACTTTAGCAACGTGTGGTCTCCATGTGATTATACCAAACTTTCAGATCTGCTCCTGTTTTTTTTTGTCTTCCAGCCTCCAGACGAGTACCGCCTAATCTGGATCACTTCTGATCTCATTTCATTTATCATAATTGTAGGAGTTTTTATATTCCAGAAGTAAGTAGCATTGTTATGGCTCAACTCTCGTGTATTTGTGGAGTGTGCTTGCATTGAGAGCGTGGGGTGGAGATGGAAGAGAGGGCTGCAGTGCTCCTCAGGCACTTGGATTGCAAATGCAGGAAAACCGTTTATTGAAACTTCCTACAAAGACTGCAAACAATAAGTCATTCCACTCCTGCGATGACACTGAATTGGGTGAAGTCACTGTTTTTAAGAAGAGTGAGACATCTCACAATAGGAGTGACAGACTCCTCGCTCCTCTCATAAATGCGTGTGGTAGAGAAACCGTAAATGTTTTCTGGGGAAATGGATTTAAATGCTTTAAGGAAAAAAGAGAATATTATGAGATTCCACAGTTTTTATAATGTAGGCTTTTTTTAGATTTCCCTGATTTATTTGGTTTCCACTTGAAGAAATGGAAACGTTTTAAAGCAATGTATTAAGTGATGCAAAGCTGTTATGACTGAACAGATCAAATCAGTTGCTTAGCCTGATGCTTTGAGAAAATTCTGCCATTCTTCAAACAAAATGGGGAGCAATGAGTGCATGGCAGAAGCCTCTCGTCAGCCCAGGTCACTGAAAACAAAACGTTTTCAGAGCACAGAGCCCAGGAGCAGGGCTAGCTAAGACACTGATAAGTCAGTAGGAGATAAATCAACTTGCTAATGGCAGAGCTGGCCAAACTACCCTCCTCTTGATTATAAGGGAGGAAACCATGGTCTCCTCCCGGTGATGAGCCTTTTCTCCTAGGAGGCATTTTCGCTGTCAGTGATGACAGTGTAATAACCCTCTCTGGGAAAATGCGAGCTCAGGAGGGGAGATGTGCTCCCTCCGGCGAGAACAGCAGCCTTCTCCTGGGAAAATGTGTCATTTTGAAATTGCACCCCTCTCTTCCCTCAGCTTTATAATCTCATCTGCTTTAGCATGCACAAACTACTGTCCTAGAGACATCAAGGGGCTTACGCTTTCCTTCCTTCTCGAGCTCCAAAATGCCTTTGTGTCAGGAGTAGCAATTTCATTTCCTTCAGCCTCATGAGCTGGTGATTTTGCTGTCGCATCGTCCCAGATCATCTGCCTGCAGCAATCCCTTTCCCTCCCCAGGGCAGATAATTACCTGGGTAGTTTTGCCATGCTACAGCAGGCTATTGCTCCTGCCAGCACCTGCTATGGGTTTGACTTCAGGCCATATGTCGGCTCTGGTGATAATTGTCCCTCTAAATTCATGACTTGCACAGTCCCAGACCAGTCACCGATTCCAGCACAGGAAGATAGAATGAGAAACAGATACAAAACCCTCTTCTCAGATTAGATTTACCAACACTTAATGAAACCAATGACCCAAATGAGATTTGCCAATGTGTTTATAATTTTGCTAAGAATGATGGTGATTCAAATTGCGGCCATTTAAACCTTTCCTCCAGAAGGGCAGTGTGGCTGCGTTGTCTGGAAGCTTTCTCCACCCCTTCAGATTCATCTGCTGGTTTAATGAGAGATTTCCCTACAAGAGATTTCCCTACTCTTCAGGCCCTGTATTTCTCTGCCAGTTACAGAAAGGCAGTGAGGAGTCGGGAGGCAGGGACTGACCTCTCTCAATGCTCCTCTCTCAAGAGCAGAATTCAAAGGCCAAGGCAAAAAGACACTTGAAGTCTTTTGCATCATCTCCCAAAGCTGGTTTTAGCAGGCTTTCTGAATCAGAAGGCCACGGATGAAGACATTAGACTGAGTCATACTGCTGAATGTAAGCTGTAGGTCCCAGAGCAGAGTGAACCGATGCATGTTTGGAGAGCAGAAGTCCCAGCTATATGGACACTGCAATATCTGGACTCTTCCTCTCTTCACAAGTTGAATTTCTCCCAGCTTGGAGATGGTTTGAAGGAGTAGGGTGAGAGGAAGGAGGGTAAAGGATGGAAGGATTAATATGGCGAGGGTCAAACGTCTTCTGTTGGATCTCTGCCTTGGGACAACCCAACCCCAAGTTTGCAGAATCAGGGAGAAACTCTAGTACCAGAAATTGCATTTTCTACAGCAAGGCTTGCTCTTTTGAGAGCTCCTGCTTTGTGCATCCCGGCTAGGAGACTCCCATCTCCCTGCTGTTCACGGCTTCTCCACCACGCAGACGAATGGGTAGCAGCACGGAGGATAAACCAAAAACTAAGCTGCAGCAGAACTGCCCAGCTACCTGATGACGTGGCTCAGCTCCAAGAAGCAGGGCTCGACGTTTGGCCTCCAATGTGTCGTGGTGTGGTTTAGTTTGGTTTTCTGAAGCCCTCTTTTTGGGGCAAAACAGGGCCACTTCCTTCACGCGAGGGACGAGGGGGTGGGTGGGAACAGAGGCACCGCTTCGATGTGCTCGTCGTCTCCTCTCCGCATGGCTTCTCTCTCCTCCGTAGCCACGGGCAGGGGTTGCTCCTGCTCTTCTGCTTCAGCTCTGGTGACCGGATCCTGGCAGCCTCTCCAGAGGGGGAAATACCGAGCGTGATGACTTCTAACCAATCTCTTTTGCCTCTTTGCCTTGTTTATTTTCTTACTGCTCTGACTGTTGTGCATGTTCCTCCTCTTTCTCTCTGCTGCATTCTGGCATCTCACAGCTATCACATGATCAGGTAATTCTGGTGCTTTCTTCCTCTTTCTCTTTTTCATTCAACCTTCCTTTCTCTCTTTCTTTCTCCCTCTCTGCTACGGCTTCACTGCAGAAGGACAGTGCAGGGCGCAGCTTTTTCGGGATGCTTTCAAACATCTGGCTTCAGAGGGGGACCAGGAGGGGCTGAACTTTGCATGGTCCATAGCCGTGAGCACCACGGGAGCCTGATGCTGAAGCTGGTGGATGTTTTGAAGGCAATCTGACCTTTTGTTGCGGTGATCCAAGTCGCTGCCTTTTAAAACAACCCTGTTTCAGAGCTCCTGCAGTGTGTTGAAATTGGGAAATTCCAAGTGGAGATAATGCTTTCTCCATGGAATTAATCTCACTGCAAAATATCTCCCTCCTTTCTGCATTTACCAGAGGTTTTTAAGACAAACCTCTTCTAGGTTGGCCAACTCTATAGAGGAAAAATTAAAACTTATATGAAGTATCACTTCTCCAGCCCTGGAAATGAATGAATAGGGCTAATAATCTGACAAGATTTGGCTCAGCAATTGCTGTACTCATTGAGTCTCTTCCCAGTCACACCACTATGAAACTGGAAGAAATACAGTATGAAAATGAAAATAGTGCTGCAGCCAGGAATGGGACGAGCCTGGGATGTTGAAGTGCCATCAGTTGGACGCCCAGATTTCTCCTTGCATTGGCTGTTTTCTCCCCAGTAGTTTTTATCCCACTGGAGGGAAGCGCTGCCACCTTTCTGCAGTAAAGCCTTTACCACGTCCGTCCTCGGACCAAACTCTTCACGCGTTACCTTCTCCATTCCTTCTGCTTTGTGCCATGGGGTTGTATTTCTGAGGGCTGGCTACTCCCTAGGTGTGCTTAGCCCTCCCCTCTTCCCCTGCCCACCCACTGCCTTGGGGTTTGGGGTTGGCCACCTGGAAGCATTGCCTGCTCCTCGAGGTACCTTGGACTTGCGGCGTTGCGTCCTCGCGTCACCTCCCTGAGATGGGGCCAGGCTGAGCCCTCCAGCGGTGCAGGGAGGTTGGGTGTTTTCCTCCTGCCACCTCCCCATTGCTTTTTTCATGGGGGTAGGGAGAGGAGAGAGGCATGGAGGAGTGGGGCAGGCTTTAGAGAAGAGCTGTAGCAGGATGGGGATGTGCAGTTGTGGCTGGCTTGGCTCTTCGCTCCTTTCCATCTTATCACCTTGGTGCCAATCATCTCTATTTTCCTCCCAGTCTGCCCTTTCCCATCTCCTTCCCCTGCCATTTCTCCTCCAACCCAACGGCCCCGGTGGTGGCCCTAACACTCTGTGTGCTGTCTCTGTGTTGTTGTCCCAGTATTTTTTAGTCTGTTCCCACCCCGTGTCCGTCTGGTCTGCTTTGTTGCCAACCTCCCAGAACAAGACCTCCCTGCAGTCTGGCTGGCACAACGAGCCCCTCTCTGGGCTGCCCTTTTTGCACACTGCTGTCCTAACTGTGGCCGATCACAACAGAGTCCAAGGGGGTAGGAGAGGTGTTATTTTCTATTAAACAAGCTTTCTGGCATCCCAACTCTACTGAGCACAGCAGCAAGTGTTTCATATGGTGTAGTTGGAGTTGCATCACGGTTAAATGCCGATGGCTTCTCTGCTAAGAGGGTGTTTAAAAAATGGGGGTGGCTACTGAAAGCTTGGCTTACTGTTGTAGCTGCCAGCGGTCCCATGCAGAAGCTAAAAGAGTAATTGCATGATCCTCACAAATTTGGGCTGGTTTTGGTGTTGCTCCTTGGGTGGGTCCCATTTGAAAACACATCCCTGCTGTGAGCTGCTCCTCTTACCCAGCACTGAAATTCCCACCTGGATGCCCAAGAAATCCTGGCTGGATCTGCTGTCACCCTCTACTAGCCCAGTAAAAGGCCCTCAGATTTTGGGAGTGAGGACTTGGGATTCCTGGGGTCCCTCTGTTCCAGCTCAGGTTGCAAAGACATTGCCCAGAGAAGTGGTGCAAGAGCTGTTGGAGAGCCTGAGTTGGGATATCCTTGTTGGGGCTAAGAGATGAAAGATTTGTTGACAGAGCCTTGAGGTTATATGGATGGAAAACTCAATTTGAAACCTTCTTAGCTTATTCAAGCAGAGGAGTGCACTCCTGTGAGAGTCACAGGCCCCTTGTGCATGTTTAGCTGGCCTGGGTCTGACCACAGCCACCACGTGAGATGGGGAGCAGAGGGCAGTAGTCTTTCCTCTTGGCAAGAGGTTTCAGAAAAGGACCCTGCAGCCCTTTGAGGCTGGGCTGTCCAGGCCCCAAAATGGCCCATGCCCTCCATGGGATGTTTAGGATCTGGGGGCAAGAGATGGTTGTGCCTCTTGGCCATGCAATGCATCAGGATTTTCATCATTAGGCTGTTGTGGGCATGGAGAAGACGTGCAGCGATGTTTTGGTTTGATTGTGGAATGTCTTATCCTGTGAGATCCTGTGCACGTCTTGATTTTAGGATCTGCCTATGTGGGACATTGAGGGCAGAAATGATCGTCTTCTAAGTTAGAGCAGCTCAGCTTAGATGAAAAATATTTTATTTTTTTTAATGCTTTAATGTCTTCTCCACTGCGTGCTTCTATGTTGCTTCTGTCCATGGGCCCGTGCGTGGTGCAGTGTTGCCATCCCAGCAGCCACCTTCATCTGTACCTCAGTTATAGCTTGAGAGTCACCTGCTGAGATTTGGGAAAAAGAGGGAAAACAGAGGGAATCAGCACCAGCTAGGTTTGGAAGAGCTGCAGAACCTCATCTGTGGGTGTTGCTTTGTCGGGCTGAGATTTGGGGGATGCTGAGTGGGTAAGCCACTAGATGGTGCCAGAAGATCAGAAACCCCATAAACCACTGTAAATCTCTGCTCTTTTTCCATCAAATAGCTTTGTTACCTCCCTGGTTCTGGCAAGGAGAATGGGAATAACTGAAAGCCTTCCTCTCTGGGCAGGAGATAGGGAGAACTGGTGGGTTTGGGGCCACGAAAGCCCACCAAGCCCTGCTTTTCCCCTATTTGCTGTAGCCTGCCTTCCTCTCTTAATGCCAGCAGCTCTGCAGCTGAGGTTCTGTGATCCAGGGAAGCTCCCAGGATGAAAAAGAGGTTTAAAAGGAAAATCCTATGACTTGGAGTTGCTGCTATCATTTATTACTAGCATCAGTCAGTTTATTTATATGCATTCGGTAATTAGAATAAAAGCCTGGCTGACTTTAATGGGGAGCCAGGTTCCCATCAGCCTCATTGTATTCATGTGGTGAAGTTTTGCTTTAAAAAAGTCTGCATTTTGGGTAGAAGCATGTAGCAAAGACCTGGCATTTGGGGAGGCAAGTGGGAGAAATTATGATCAAGGGCATCGTATGTGACAGCTACCCGTGTTGAGACTGCTTTGAGTTCCCTTCAGAGCATCTCATGGTGATGTCTCAGGCTTGAGACCTTTATTTGACTTTGAGCTCTCTTCTCCTACAAGCATGAGGGTACCATGTAGTGAGGAAAAGGTTCTGGTTTCTTTACTTGGCTTGGTCTCTGTTCCCTATTTCCAACCCTAAGAATCAAAATAGTTCACCTCTACAGGGCAGTTAGCTAGCTGATGTGGTCCTCGGTGAAATTAATGCAATTAGGATGCTCAAGGTGGTTAGAGATGACTAGTTTTTATGTCTGTACCCTCCCTGAGATAACACACTCATTTCCAAACATCCTCCTATCATGCGGGGTTGTGTAGACGCCAGGGCAGGAAGGCGTGAGGGTCTTTGGGACTTGGTCTCCCCTGTGTTGGTGGCCACTTGCTTGGAGAGGACGCTCCTGGGGTTGAGGACTCCAGCCCCTGATAACCCCTTCTTCTCTTGCAGGTGGCGTTTAGGAAGCATCAGGACCTACAACCCGGAGCAGATCATGCTCAGTGCTGCTGTCCGCCGGTCCAGCCGGGATGTCAAGATCATGAAGGAGAAGCTGATCTTCTCGGGTATGAATGGAGCCGGTCGCACGAAGCTATTTGCTCCATCCTACAGCTGCTCCCTGTTGGAGGAGAGATGGTTTTGATACGGGTGTCATCTCCCACAGCTGGGACAGGGCAGCTGGACTGACCCAGCTGCACTGAACCACTTGTGGGATGTGGTCCTGGCTCACCCATCCCAAAATGTTCCAGGCCTGAGCACCGATTTGCTCATAAATCCTGCTTTTAACTTCCCAAGCTGTGCTATGCAGCTGTCTTATGCTGTCTCACATCTCCTCTCTTAATTACCGACAGTGTCAAAACTGTAAATTAAAGCAGTGCTGTGAGTTGCTGCAGATAATGGTGACGAGTTTGAGGTAGACCTGGATCCCTGTCATCCTCCCAGCCTTTCTGTGTTAGCGTATGCTGGCTTCCTCTCAATGATCCAGCCTCCAAGAAAGATCTCAAAAATGTGTGCAAAGAAAGAAATGTTTAGCTTTAAAAGATTAAAGTTGGCACGTGAAGCTGGAGAGCTCACATTAGGAGGGATGTGAATATAAATCGCCCCTGGAGCTCTGTTGTTGGTGTTCATTCCTCATATCAGGGGCTAGAGACCTCCAGCAGGGATCAGGGTTTATTGTCCTGGATGCACACACATACACAGCCAAAAAGACAACTCTTGCTTCAAAGAACTTATTGTGGGCACAGCAAGCCTGATTCTGCCCTCCAGAAACAGTCAAAATGGGGAATAAATCCAGGGAAACCAGAGTGAGAAAGCAGTGGGCCATAGCAAAATTAACTATTTCCACTATTTTCTAGACATAAAATGTCTTTGACACAAACCACCCTGTGAGGTAGGGGATGTGTGTTAAGGATTTGTGCCTCTGAAACAAATGGTTTTGCTTAGGGTTGGAGTTTAACTATTAGAACATTGATGGGTGCACGGTTTTCCCAGTGAAACCAGTGACTACTGGAGTCTCCCCAGTTCTAGAAGAGTGGCTGGGGTAGGGATTACGTTTGAGTATCTTGCATCCTCATCTCCAAAGGCAAGTAATTCAGTCTGTGGCATAGCATCACTTACATGGGGTGTTCCAGTTTTGCTTCTGATATTGACAGGACACTCAGGGTCTGAAATTTAGAGGTGAGCCAAAATTTGGAGGCAGATCGTATTCACAACTGGTTTAAAATGGTGGCAATGTCACTAAAGCCAGGGATTAAATCCCTGTAGGATCAGACAGACCTCATGTGCTGGCTGCTTGATGCCTGTTCCCTCAACCACGAGCTTTCTCCTGGGTCTTTGCACTCCTGTGACGATGCCTTCTCCTTATTTACCCTCCCCAGAGATCAACAGTGGCGTGGAGACCACGGACGAGCTGTCCCTCTGCTCCGAGAATGGCTACGCCAACGAGATGGTCACCCCCACGGATCACCGGGACACCAAGCTGCGGATGAACTGAGGGGCTTCCAGCCCAAGCCCATGGGTGGCCAACCCCACGTTCGCTCCGGCAACGAGAGCCGTGCTCTCCTGCTGGCCATGGGACGGGACTTTGAAGGAACTGCTGGCTGGGCAGCTCGCCCCTTCCCGTTCCACCATCAGTGGCTGCTCCACCTCCCTGGTTGCGAGGTTGGGGGGGCTTTTGTTTTTTGTAAATATGTAAAAAAAAAACAAAAAAAAATCCGAATTTTGTCTTTTTTTGTGTAATTTTTCCAGGGCATGAGTGGAAATACCACGTTCATTAAATCCTCTACCCTTATGGCTGAAGTTATTTGAATTTTGATGTGACAGCCTGAATCCCGGGGGGGCGCTGGGACAGCTCTCCCCACCCTGCTCCATTCTTTCCCTCGGTGCAGCGACGGTGTAGCTGAATTGTTTAAACCGTATGTTGTGAAGTTCTTGTGAAATGTCACTTTTGTTCTGTTTTTCTTTTTTTTTTGTTTGTTCCCCTTCCTCTCCCCCTTCCTGGGCAATGAAGTTTTAGCTCTAATTTAACTGTTTGGAGGAGAGAAGCTTTCCCAGGAGAGGAGACTGCTCTTCCCTGCTGAAGCTCAGAGCCGGGGAAGGAGCTGCACTGGCTCAGTCACTTGGGCACCTTCTCTCCATCCTGTCCCCCTTCCCCAAACCCTGGATGTTCACGAAGAATGGCCTTGAGATGTTCTGCTGTAGTCTGAAGGCAAACCCTGCGTGGCAGCTGAAGCTCGGCCTCTGCTGGCAGCAATGCTTGGATTTTCTCCTTGCTCTTTCTATCTTCATGAGTTGGGCTCTGTTGGCAGCCCAGATGGCTTGCAAAAAGCCACGGGCACCATCACCCTTCACGTCTGGCTAAAGTGCCTGCCACTCCAAGTGGTGTCTGCAGTTGCTCCTTGCTTCGCCGTGCAGGAAGAAGGGGTGGTGATGGTGCAGTGTCAGCCCCTCCGTGCCAAGCAGATGCCCGTGCATGAAGGAGTTGTAAATAGTCTGGAAGGCGAAGCAGCCCAGGAGAGTAATTTATTCCTGCAAGGAGACTTTTCCTCTCCTTGCTTCAAAAGCAGGATCTCTATAGCTGCATGTTGGTGTCCTCCAACGGAGTGATGTTTTTTTTTTTTTTGCAGCAGATGCTGACAAGCTCTCAGCAGCGTGTTTCCAATACAAAAGGCTTTAAACCAAAATCCTAGATGAGAGATTTAAACAAATAAAAGCTCAGAAACCAAGTAGATGGCAGTTACGTTTCATCCCCTCCCTGAAACAGCCCGCAGCCAGCCCAAGGGCAGGCTCAGCTCGCTAGAGGAGCCTGGTTTTGGGTCACTGCTGTTCGCACAGAGCTGGTTCCCAAGGCAGCTGAAGCCATCCCGAAGGCTGCTGGTGATGTGAATGGGGCTTGGCTCCGTCCCCGCAGCCTTCTGCTGCTGGGTCGCTCCCTGCCTCGCTGGATCTCGGTCGACACAACGTGCGAAGTGGGAAATCCCATTGAGCACGAGCTTCCTTTGAAGCCCTGAAAATGCCAGGACCATGAAAGTCGTTTCCCGTGGAGGGGATGGGAGCCAAAACTCGGTCTTTGGGCTCTGGCTGAGCCGGGCTGCAAAGTCCTTGCTCGGCTGGGAGAAGTCCCCTTGCAGAAAAAGAAGGGAGGTTTGGGGATGCTGATGTACATCACGTTCAACACCTAAAGCCAACAGAAAAGCCGGAAACAAGCCTCAATAAACAGCTTCAAGCAGTTTGTTCTTGTTTTGGCAGTACTGAACTGCTTTTTTTTTTTTTAGTTTACGGAAGTAGTGTTCTGAAGCACCAAAGTTTTGGGTTCTGTGCATAAGAATTGGGGATGAAAGTGGCAATCTTAGCTGTAGAAAACAAAAGAAGCTGTGTCAAAGTAATGTAAGAAATACTCCTATAATGCAAGTAAAATCTGAATTGCGCTGCTTAGGAGATGCCTACTAAAGGATCACAAACTGAATTTAATTTATTTGTATTTACACCGTTTTTTATGAGTGTAGGTGGAACAAGCCCATGGTCCATGCGCCCTCTTACCTTCCCCAAATGCTGTTCTCCTATATGGTACTCTCTCGAGTCTGTGAAACATAGTATTTTTTTTTCCTCCAGAATTGCAAATTTTGGTGGATTTGAAGGCTTTTGAGAACAACGTTGCTTCTCCCTTTAATGCGGTTGTTGTATTGAAACATTCCCGGTGGATTGTCATTGCCAAGTGAGAGATGTTAAATCTCGGCACCTGTCGATAATCACCTGCATGTTCTGTTTTTATCCTTGGAGATGACTTTATTGAAAGGTGAAGTGCTTAAAAAGCTTGGAAGTGTTAAAAAGCAATCCAGCAAAGAGTTGTTGTTTCCACAATTCATTTTTTTTAATGATGAGACCCGAACTTTACGCGTGATGCACTGACTGTTACCGTTATCGTCCTGAAGATTTGCTACTTTTTTTTTTTTTTTTTAAAGGATGATACTTTTTTGATGAAAATAGAGCTAGACCAAAATGAACTCTGCGATCCTCTGTGAAATAAACTGTCAGTATTCCCCTGCCAGTCTGTGGTGCTGTCGTGTGTTCTGCAAAATGGTGGTGCCTTGCTCTTCTTGCGTTGATCTCCGTGGTTCGACATTTTTATGCATTGTTGGGGGGAACCTTGTGGTCTGAGCAGGGGGAGGGTTGGAGACCCATCCTTCTTGAGATCAGCTCTCTCCTGTCCAGATTTTATGAGACAGCAGCTGATAAGCAGGCAAGTGGAGAAGTGACTCTGCAGGCCTGAATCTTGAATGATAACTGGAATAATTGCTTGGTGCTTGTGGCTGCGTGGGGACAATGATGCGCCCATATAAGAGCTCTGGCCGCAGTTTTCAGCCAAACGAACGGGAAGCAATTTATTTCTAACAAACTTTATGCAAGTCATCGCCCCAGGGTGCTGTGGAGGCCAAAAACCAAGAGCACGTTCAAAGAGGAGTAAATGGCTCGTACATCCATTAGCACTTATTAAACACAGCAGTCCGGATGCAAGATCCAGCTTGAGAAGACCCTGAGCAGTCGTTTTCTAAATGCGTATGTTAAGGGAAAGGCTTGCTTTGTGCTTGCTCTCCTTCTTATTCCTAACCCCCGGATCTGCTCCCAGCTGCAAACGGCGGAGGGTGCTTTGGGTTAGGAGGCGATCTCGTCTGGGCCAGCCTGGGATTGTTCTTTGTTAAGCAGCTGTTTTCTCCAGGCCATGAATAGCTGCATTTAAGGGATAGATGAAAGGGATTAAAGTAAATACAGCACTATCTCATTGGTTGGTGATGGGTAGGCAGTACTGTGTTGAGGATTTGACTGGCTCGGGGAATACCATTTGAGTGTTAAAAATGAACTAGCCCCAGGGGACAGGGCGTATCCAGGGTATATATATCAGATGGACAACTGATATCCACATTATCGAATAATCCAAAATGGGGGGCTGTCGCTGCTGTACCCTGCGGAGAGATACTGAAACCTTGGAGGAAGAAAAATGAGAGTCGTGGACTCTGTTATTCAAACAAAAGAGCTGAGGATTGGTCGCTGGCTCTAAGCCCGAATGGCTTGGGACAGCCAACATTGTGCTATTTAACTCTTTCTTCCTAAAACTGCCCTCGTTTGTAAGAGCTTAGGGGTACAGCTGGGATAGTTCTCAGAGCATCTGGGAACCATTCCAGCACTTCACATTTGCTGGTAGAGCTGCAGCCCTGGGGTCTGGGAGGCGATACCCTTGTGACCATGCCCTAGGTCTATGTGGGTATCTGCCATCAGAAGGACCTCTTCTATCTCTGTTAAAAGCCTTCATGTGATGCAGTGGCTCAGAGTTTGTGAAGGTTCAAACTGGGTACAAAAAGCCCATCTGTGATGTGAGCAGCTGCAGTGGCACAGGGTCCTCTTTCTTCTTTCTTCTTTCTTCTTTCTTCTTCTTCTTTCTTCTTCTTCTTCTCCCTTTCTTTTCTTCCCTTTTTCTTTCTTCTTTTTTCTTCTTTTTCTTTTTCTCTTCTTTTCTTTCTTTCTTCTACTTTTCTTCTTTCTTTCTTCTTCTTCTTTCTTCTTTCTTCTTCTTTCTTCTTCTTCTTCTTTCTTCTTCCCTTTCCCTTTCCTTTCCCTTTCCCTTTCCCTTTCCCTTTCCCTTTCCCTTTCCCTTTCCCTTTCCCTTTCCCTTTCCCTTTCCCTTTCCTTTCCCTTTCCTTCTTTTTTTTCTTCTCTTAAGTTACTTTTTTCTTCTCTCTCTCTTCCTCCTGAGCCCTCTTTCCTCTTCACTTACTGCTCTACCCCCTCACCTGCATGGCTCCCTCCTGCTTTCTCTCTTCTCCTGGATGCTGGTGACTGCCCTTCACCTCTGCTAACTGGCTGTGAGCAGGAAGGGAGGGTTCTGACTCTCTCCATGGCAAGCTGGAGCACACAGACAGCTGTCCTGGGTAGGATGCATTTCATCCCTGGGGCGTGCAATGGGAAGGTACAGACCGTGGTGTGACCAGGTCCTAACTGACTGTCTCCATCGAGACATCTCACTTGATTTATCCAAAATTGTCTTCTACTTTTCCACTTGCCTTTCCCACTCTTTTCTACTTGTTTTCTTCTTAGCTTAGCTGCATCCCTCCTCCTTCCTATTTCTTTCTTCTCCCGACACAGTCGCTCTGCTGCTCCTGCAGGAAGCTTTCACTCCGCATTCACACGGAGTGTTTCGCGAAATTCCTGATCCTACAAACACTTATTTTATTTTTAATGCTCACATCTTTGTGCCTAATGGCTTCTGTGGGCCACATGCCATGGGTTGAGTGTTTTTAATGTGAAGAAGTGGCTTTACAGTGGAGCAGGACTCAGCTCACAGCCCCTGCACTTTCAGGCTACAGGGTCCTAGCCCCATGCTTTATGGCTGCACAACATTGGCAGCTTTATAACCACACTGAAGGGTATCCAAACCCCAAGAGATCTGTTTTTGGTGCCCCACAGGGCAGGGTCAGAGCCTGTGCATCCTGATGACCCAGATCCCAACCATCTTTAGCTTCATCCATGCCTGGATGTGTCCCAGCAGAGCCAACTTGATCATGGTGGAAGGTCCCAAGAGCAAAAATTCCCCAACCTTCCCATCCCACAGCACAGGCTGGGAAACCGCAATCCTTTCCAGGTTGCTGCTAATTCATATGCAAATGCTGGGAGCGAGCAGGATGCCAGCTTGCATCCCAGCAAAGGGAGAGGAGCAGAAAGGATCCATCCAGCACACGTGGTGGTGGTGCTCCAGGGAAAGGTGATTTTACTGGGATAACAACGTGCAGGGGTGGAGGTTATTAATATTTCCTTTCTGTTTACTATGAAATAATGCAAGTTGTTCAAAGTGATGCTGGGCATGGGAGGGAAGGCAGCCTGCAGGCTGCTGGTTACTTCATGGTGCAAATATTGGCCTCCCCAGGGCTGGTTTGCTCCCTGCTGTGAGTATTTACAAATTCAGCCAACAACTAGGATTAAGGTGGAGGGGGAGCGTACTGAAAGCCACTTGGGACAAGCCTCCCCTTCTGTCCTCATCGTCCTTACGGACCTAATTATCCCACATTAACGAGGAGCACTGCCGCTCCTAACTCCCCCAATCCGTTCCTGCTACGGGTGCCTTTTTTTTTGCTTGCAGAGCCGTATTTTATTTATCAGCTTTATTGTGGTTTCCAGCAGGCTGGAGTCTCCCCCAAATGAATCGTTCCACCTGGACCCCAATTTGCTCTCCAGATGGCTGGGCCCTCCGAAGCAGCCCTGGTGTGATATATTTTCCCTGAGCCTCCATGGGCTTTCCCTGGGTTTTGGCTCCTCCCTGGCTGCCTGTTATTGACAGCTGCATGGCTAATGCCCTGTAGCTCTCCGGCGTGTCATTCGGGAGAAACAAAAGCAGATTTATCCCCCTCCTCTTTAGCAGCGAGGATAAAAGCAGGGCTTTTGTGCTTCCCCCAGCATTGCTGGAGAAGGGCTGAGCACGCTTTGCGGAGGGGACCCGTCTCCGTGCCGAGCCCCAGCGTGGATGGGAGCTCTCCGAGAGGGAAGCTGAGGCTTCACGAGGTCCCACCTGGAGGACACAACCTGTGGGCCAGGTAACGTTGGGCTTCCTGGGGAGCTTGCCCCAGAATACCCAGTGCTTGCTGCTGGGCTGTGCTCGGATGGAGAGCGATGCGGAGAGGAGTGCGCGTGGGCAGCGGGGGAACCCAGTCCCTTCTTGGAGCTGGATTTGTATCTTGGGTAGACAGGAGGGCTGTGAGCTGGGGAAAGGAATTTGGATTAATCCGGGGTGGGGACACATCTCTTTGTAAGCTGTGAGCGATCCCAAGGGCTTGGAAACTTGGAATTAGGGAGGGAGGCAGGGAGATAAATATATTTATCCTTCTTGGCTGGAGTGTCAGCAGAACACGGAGCTTGCTGTGCCGTCCAGAAAGCTGCCTTTGTTGTAACTTCTCTAAATCACTTCGAACTAACTAACAGCATTTCCCCTCTGTGCGTAGCCCTGAGCACCCATCGGTGCCATTTGGGATGTTTGGAGCCTTCACTGTCTCCCCCAGGGTTTCTTAGATATTTACGTAGGGCTCGTCACGCTGCTTCACTGCTCTTTGGGGCTCTGCAACACCCCATGGTGGGAGTAGAGATGTTTTTGTGTGTGTTTTCGCAAGCATGGAGGATATGTTGACATTTTACCAAGGTAGTGGGGCAGGAATCCTCAGGATGAGGATGGGTTGTCCTACACGTGGCCACTCAGTGCAGGTGAGGTGCAGATGTCCTGCTGAGGACTGGGTGGATGCCACAGAGCAGCTGATGTCTGCCAGTTTGTGACCCCGTCTGGGGACCTATGCTCCTGCCAGAGGCACGTGGTGAGATGTTCCAGAGTCTGGTTCAAGGAGCCAGACACTTACAAGCAGAGCCTGAGCCCCCCAAATGTGCTTTTTTTCTGTTACAGAGCCTCAGAAAACCAATCTAAAACCTGCATGGCTGTGATAGTAGCCATGATAAAGAGTGCTGAGCTGGCTGCCCTCGCTGGCACCCAGCTCAAGAGGTGAATCATAGAATCACAAAATATCCTAAGTTGGAGGAGACCCACAAAGACCATCGAGTCCAACTCCTGGCTCCACACAGGACCACCCAAAAACCAGACCCTATATCTGAGAGCATTGGCTCCTTGAGCTCCGGCAGCTCAGTGCTGTGACCATGTCCCTGGGCAGCCTGACCACCTTTTGGGTTCCTAACACCCAGCCTGAGCCTCCCTTTTCCCAGCTGTTAGTAACTACTAAAATAATAATTTTAAAAAATCTCCTAAAACCAGAAAGTTTGTTCTACTGGGATGGTGGTGGATTGGAAATAGCCTAGTGCCCACTGCTGTGTTGTGCTTTGGAGGAAATGGTTACTGAGGATGAGCTATGGGTGTGGGTAAAGGCGTGTAGTCTATCTAGATTTTTGGATGGAATCTGCACTTCCCCATGATGCTGAGAAAGCTGCAGAAACCACAATGGTGTTGGATGTCATGGGAAGATATTTTAATGAACACGCTATTCTCTTGCTTCCTTCACTGCTTCCCAATCAGGATGCATCGAATGATGAAGGAAGAGTCCAGTTACAGGACGAGCAGCCTGGAGAATGCAACGCGTGACCCGAGCAAAGAAAAGCTGCACATGAAGCTCTGCAGCGGATCCTGCCACGCTGAACAAATCCTCCAGACGCTAAACTCCTACCGGCAGAGTGGCATCTTCACAGACGTGGTGCTATTAATCGATGGGCAAGAATTCCCCTGTCACCGTGCTACGTTGTCAGCCAACAGCACGTATTTTCGGGCTATGTTTGGTGGCAATCTCAAGGAAGGCCACCAGAATATCATTAACATCCAGAAGATTTCTGCCTCTACCATGTCTCTCCTTCTTGACTACATGTATGGGGGGAACATCGTCATTCAGGAAGACAACGTTGAAGGCATCTTGGAACTGTCTGACTTGCTGCAGATCTCCAAGCTCAGAGATGCTTGTATCACCTTCCTTGAAGGCCAGCTCCACCCGTGCAATTGTTTGGGCATCATGAAGTTTGCCGACTCATTCTCCATCGCTTCCCTGACCGAAAAGAGCAAGAGGTTCATGCTGGAGTGTTTTGTGGAGGTGTCGTGTCATGAAGAGTTCCTAGAGATGGGTGTGAAGGAGCTGGTTGAGTACTTGTCTGATGAGCAGCTGGTGGTCCCCAAGGAGGAAGTGGTCTTTGAAGCAGTCATGCGCTGGGTACGGCATGATGTCCCTGCCAGGAAGGGAGCCTTGAAGGACCTCCTAGAGCATGTGCGACTGCCACTGCTTGACCCCACCTATTTCCTGGAGAAAGTGGAGATGGACGGACTCATCCAGGACTCAAAGGAGTGCATTCCTCTACTGCACGAAGCCCGCAAGTACTACATCCTTGGGAATGAGGTCAGCTCCTTGAGATCAAGGCCCAGAAGGTAAAACCCAGAGTTGTGTTTCCTAGACCTGAGTGGCCTAAGTTCATGGATCCTAAAGCTGGTGGGGTGGGATTCTCTTATTTTTTGATTTATTTTCTATTATTTTTATTTTTTCCCTCCAATTACTTCTAGCCTCTTGGGCATCAGCATGGCTCCTAGCTCAAAGGCATTGCTGCTGGGTCAGGAGTTAATGTCCATTGGAAAAAAACCAAAACCAAAACCAAAACAAACAAACAAACAAAAAAATAAAAATACTGTCCAGGTGGCCACCTACGTACCCTCAGATTCTGTCTTTCGTGCCTTTGATTTTTTGATCAACAAGAAGATAAAGAACTCCTGACCTAGGCAGCTGACAGTGTAAAGTGGAGGATGAAAAGGAAAAACAGTTCCTGGGGATGGGTGTGTGTGGAAATCTTGCACCTTTCTGTCACTTTGGCATTTGGATTTGCTAGATTTGGCCAGATATTTTGGAGGCCTCTGCTGTTTTTTCGTGGTCACAGAGGTCCCTCTGCTTGTGTTTGGTAAGAGCACCGATGGAGACCTCTGCTCTGGGGTGGGTAGCCATATCAAACCAGGTGGTTTGCAAGGCTCCCCATTCTTGTCTAGAAGTTCTTGAGCCTGGAATTTAGTTCTTGAGCCTGGAATTTAGGGTTTCTGTCAGGTGGAAGAGCTGGTTTGAACCCTTTCAAACTGGTGTGAGACTTGAAGCTGGCTCTTTGTGCTGAATGACGCAACAGGTTGTTGTCTAAAGAACTGCTCAATAGCAGAGTCTGTGCTGACCTCCTCAAGGACGCAGACCATTAAAATTCACTGGGAATAAACCCCACCCCCAACATCTACATTTTAATTCACCTCCTTCTACAGCTTTGGCCTTAAGTGAGTTGTCTCAGGCTGTGCAAACCATGGCAGGGCTGGGGATTGGACCAAGTCCTTCAAATCTCCTTCCACCCTCCTCCCTCCTCTCCTTCCCCTCCTGCAGAGCTGTCCCTCTCTTGCCACCTACCAGCTGGCAGGATTTTCCTTCCCCTGCTGTCGTCTCTCACGTCTGCTCACTGCTATTGGGGCTGGAGAGAGTGAGATTTCCTGGAAACACTTCTCTCTCCAGGCAGAGAGCGTGTGGCGGGCCGGCTGCCAGGAACAGCTTTGCACGTCTGTGGCCGTGCGTTGAGGATTAAGCTTGGAAGTAATGAAAGGAGAGGGTGAGGGGCAGGGGGCAATGCCACGATTTGGACTCTTTGGACCCAAGCTGAGAGATGTCTTTAATTTGCCTGTAAGAGGGAAGGTGCAGGGAGGAGAACGATTTGCCTAGAAAAATCAGTGGCTGATGAAGGAAATAGCCTAAATGGGTTAGGGGACTTACCCTTGTCTTTCATGTTCTAGGTTCATGGAGCTGGCAGAAGTCATCGTCATCATTGGGGGCTGCGACAAGAAAGGTCTTCTGAAGCTGCCCTTCACAGACCTCTATCACCCGAAGAGCAGGCAGTGGACAGCCCTCTCCAGCGTGCCCGGTTACACCAAATCAGAGTTTGCTGCCTGCACGCTGAAGAACGACGTGTACATATCAGGTGAGATGCCCTGGGATGGATCCTTCTTTCCTGCTTACAATAAGCAGTGGGGGCAGCCACTCTCCGTGTCTGTTTCATGGGACTTGTTCACGTTTTGACTCCAAAGTCATTTCTTCTGAGTGACGTTTACTCTTAGGTGGTTTGCATTTTGGTGTCCCAAGGAGCCGATTTCAGCTCTGGGAGAGGATGGCATTATTAAAAAGCCTTTTTTTTTTTTTTTTTTTCGTGCCTACTGGGGCATCTGCCCAAAGTGTCCAGCTGTGGAATGAGCTGCTTTTGGTGTGTACTGTCAGGATTACCTATAGCATCAGGGTCTCCTGCCTGTCCTTCATTTAAAATAAAATGCCTATCAGAAGAGTTCTGTAGAAGGGATGGAGTAGTGTAATAAGTGCCTTAAAGTGCATAGGGTATCTTCCTTGGAATGCTGAGTTTACATGGGTATATCCCAACAGCCATATTTTGGCCTTGATTGTTCCATTGCATGGAGGAGCTATATAGCACAGTGGTTTAACAAGATGATGGGATTGTCTTTGGGATTGCACCAGCTCTCCACCCCTGTTTTTCAGGGGGACACATCAGCAGCAATGATGTTTGGGTGCTGAGCTCCCAGCTGAACGTCTGGATCAAGGTTGCTTGTCTGCAGAAAGGCCGATGGAGGCACAAAATGGCAACGCTTCAGGGCAAGGTAGGCCTGAATTTGGGAACAACCCCTATGGAGCACAGTCCCCCACTTCTCCCAGTGTCAAGTATAATGAGAAACTGTCAGTATTTGGTTGTCTTCTGGCTCATTTGGAGCTGATTTTGATGAGAGAAACCTAGGACATAACTAAAGTGTCATTAGTCTTTGGCTGTGTTGCCACCTGAGGTAGCCAGCAATGAGGCCACAGCAATAAGATCTACCACAGGATGGTGGAAGACTTCTGAAGATGGTTGTGTTGAGTTTTTGGGTGAAAACCATGCAGGGTTGGGTATTTCAAACTGGTCAATCAGTGTGATGACGCTGGATTCAAGGAGAAGGTTTTGCCAAGGGCCGGATCTCTGCCCTTCTGGCCTAGCGTTAGCCTTGCCTCGTGCACACCATGACAGCACAGCCCATTAGGTGACTCCGGGAGTTTCTAATCAGCTTGCTTTGCTCCTTTTGTGGCAGATCTACGCTGTGGGAGGCTTTGATGGTTTTTACCGCCTCTCCAGCGTGGAGTGCTATGACACCTTCTCCAACAGCTGGTCAACCTTGGCCCCGCTGCCTCAGGCCGTGAGCTCGGCGGCTGTGGTCTCCTGCCTGAACAAGCTCTACGTGCTGGGCGGTGCTGTGGACGACACTGCTAACACCGACAAGGTATCGCTGGTGAGGATGACTTGTGAAGTAGAAGCAGGGCTGTGAGGTGCAAAATAAGCCTTTGGAAAGCTCAGGCATGGGAGGTTTCAGCTCAGCTTCGGTCTGGTTTCAGGCATGGTGCTTTGAGAGAGAGGATTGAAAGAAAAGCCTGCAAGGAGCATCAAGGATGGCCAGAGACCTAAAAAACATGGTTCATGGGGGAATGTTGGCAACTGAGCTGTGCTGAGAGTTTTAATGGCACTCAGCTCAATCCCTGAATGTTTAATAATGTTTGGGTCAGGAGCAGCCACCCTGGGGGCTTGTAATTTGTCTCGGAGAATTGAACACATAGGCCCACAGAGACGCTGCCTGAGGTCCCAGACAGTTGAAAAAGGAATACTAGAAACCCTCATCCCTTTGATCATTGCACAGGTCTTTGGGTGTTGAAGCTCACTTCTGTGTTTCTGGGTCTATTTTCTTTTATTTCTAGTGGATATCAGATTCAACCAAGCAGGGAGATGAGGTAAATTCATGTTCCCACAGCTGCGTTTTTCCTCCCAGGTCCAGTGCTATGATCCAGAGGAGAACAAATGGACACTTTTGTCTCCCACTCCTTTTTACCAGAGGTGCATCAGTGCTGTCTGCTTGGACAATATCATTTATGTCGTAGGTGGACTCCTCAGTAAAATCTTCAGCTTATGATCCAAGGGAAGACAGCTGGCAAGAAGTGGCCACACTCCCTGGGCCTCTGGTAAGAAAAGATTTAGGAAAGAAGCCCTGAGCCTTCCTTCTCTCTAGAACAAAAGTACCCATCAGTGCTTTGTTGAGACTGAAGGTAAAGAAAATACAATGGGGGGTTGGCACTTGAGCATGAGAACATACCCACTGACCTCTGTATTTCAAGTCAAATTATGTACTTACCATCAATGACTGCTTAGAAGATGTGTTTCCAAGATAAATTCCAAGTTTTTTTTGCTGAGGCTGGTTCCATACTAGCTGTTAAAGCTCTGTTGGAGGATTTATGGGATGAAAAGGTGGGTGTTGAGGATCTTTTCTCCACACTGCATGCTACAGGGTGAAGGGTTATGCTGGCTCTAACCTGGTGTGTGGACTGAACATGCACCAGTTACAGGTGTGCATCTTGGTTTAACTTCATCACACCTGATTTAGTGTTTTTGTGCTCCAAGGCCACACTGCAATGTGAGCCGTGACACAGTGAGTGGGGAGGAATGATGAGGGACAGCTCACCCCAATATGAGTTAAAATGCCACTGTCGGTGTGTCTGTACAAGTGGCTCTTGCACAGAATGGTGGGTGACTCTCTGGGCTTTCATCATCCTTGTGAGTCTGGGGAGCTGCCAGGAACAGCAAAGCTCCCATCACCAGCTCAAGGTATTTCAAATGCCTGAAACCCTAAGACTGCAGGAGCCAGACCCCACTTATCCTACAGACTTACCAGTCCTTTCTTCAGATCAGGTAGCAGCTGAGTCCATTGAAATGGTGCACAAAGCTGGAGGGCTGTTTCTCAACTCTTAGTCTTTCCTTCTGCTTTCCAGGAGAGCTGTGGCCTGACAGTGTGTGGAGGGAAGATTTACATCCTGGGCGGTCGAGACGAGAATGGGGAAGGCACAGACAAAGCGTTCACTTTCGACCCCGCAACGGGCAGCGTGGAGCAGCAGCCACCCTCTGCAGCGCTGCACCAGTTATCACGGCTGTGTGACCATCCTGCAGCGCATGAATAGATGACCGTGGGGCTTTGGCAGCATCCTTCTCCCACCCAGAGCCTCCCCTTGAGACAGTGGCCACCAGTGTGTGGACAGACAGCCCAGCTCTCTGCGGGGAAGGGCAATACAAGCTGCTGAAGATGTGCTCCAGCCAGGCCCTGAGCACTGTTTTTTTTTTTTCCAGGCCTGGTGATGCCAGTGATTTTGTTGCTGATCTAGGTGAGAGGATGAAAGGGTGATGGGCTGTGTGAAAGCTGCATTGCAGACCTTGCACAGGAGGATTCAAATATCGTTACAGCCCCTGGAGCTACTGGATTTGTCTCTTTTTAGGTTTCCTTGGATGTAGATTATGGTTTTCTGTAATGTTGCCAACAGAGGCTCTCTGTCCTGCAAGGACATGTATTGTTGCTGCTCTCTGATGCCTGAGGCTGTTGCAGTCACAATTATAGTTACAGGATCTAATTCTTTAGCTAAAGCTATCAGATATTTGTGTATTTAACTCTCTAGAGCCAAGTGTCAAACCATGGTGTTGGCCTAAATGGCCACTGACATCCACGAACAGCCCTACTACAGCGGAGAGCTGAGACCTCATAGCTGATACCCCAAGAAAATCTCTCTGCTAAATCCCTAAAAGCTTGGTTAAATAGGGTGAGCTCTGACTCCAACCTGCACGTGGTGTATGAGGGTCCATCCCCTGAAAGCACAGAGTGCTGTATTTCTTCATACATGTTGCATAGTTGGACTGTCCAGTGAATTGTGTAGCCAAGAGTTTCTTCTTCAGAGAGCAGAAGTAGGCTAACGTGTAGGGATTAGGCAAGAAGTTCTGAAGCATGGTAGCCACAGAATTGTATCTGTCTCCTTTTGGCTCTGAAATACGCTGGTAAGTAGGAAAATAAACTCAATATTTAACAGGTTGGACACAGGGCCCCTGGGAACCCAAATGTGCAGCCTGCTTGGGGGGCAAGTGTTCAACAGCACAGACTGTGCAGCACCAGGCCAGTAGGCCTCAGGTCTAAAAATGATCTTGAGCACGTTCAATTTGTTAGAATAGCCGTAACTTTTGGTGTCTTTAGTCCATAACTGGACCTGGTAATTTCTGATGGGTCCACGTAGGTGTCCACGTTGTTCCAATAGGGATGTAGGTGCTGCCAAATGTAGAGTGGGATCTCTTAAAAACTCCCGTGACTTGTATGTTGTAGGGTGCACCCCTCTACAGCAGGCTGCTGGCTGGCTGCTGTTCTCTCTGCACCTTGTTTTCCTTACCCCACTGATGACTTCTTCCTGAAGCAGAGGAGACTGCCATGGCTGTTGGCCCAGATCCTCCTCTTTTCAGGGCCTTCTAATGATCTTAAACCTCCTGTAATTGCTTTGTTCCCCTTTAAGTCTGGATTTCTTTTTTTTTTCTGGTGCTCTTTAGTACTTTTGTCTTCTCTGAGTTCTGAGAAGGTTCACCTCTTCTTCATGATGATATCAGGATCACCTGTAAAACATGGCAAAAGTTTCTGCTGAAGAACCCAAATGGGCTAGAACCTGAGCACGCTCATTTCCTCTTTTCATTAGGAAATGTATTTTTTTCCATTGTCCAAATGAAAAGCAGGGTGTTTCATTGCACAAAATGTACCTTACCCTCCTCATAGTCACCTCTGAAAAGTCTCAGGGCTATGGTAGCTGTTTTGTTCATCGAGGTACACTATTTATCTGTTCTCAGCCTCAAATTCTCCTCAAGGCCTGTGCACATAGGTTAGATGTTTTATATATAGGATATGTCCTTCAAGCAACATAAAGGTGATTCAATGCTGTTATAGATTATTCCTCTGAGAAGAGAAAAGGAAAAGCACGCTGGTAAAAGGCAATTTTATTTGTAATCAAATCCCAGATGGGCCTTTAATAGGAATGGTTATTTCACTGGGAACTGGCACCTTTCATTGATTTAGTTAAATTAGCACAGAAGAAAGCACAAGCATATCAACCCATGGGGAGACCTTTATCTTCCTATAGCCTGATTTCCTCAGGAGCATCTCCCCACAGCAATTCTGCCTCTCTTACTGCTCCCTGTGCCTTAAGCTATTCACTGCTTTGGTATAGGGGCCCTTCAAAGTGTATGGATTGGGACTCTCTGTCTCCACCTCACTCATCTGGCCAAGGACATTTGTAGTTCTTCACAGACTGGCCACCTCTTGAGTTGCACTTTGGAAACCACTGCTGGTGTTTCAAGAAAAGGATTGCACCCCAAGCTTGCAAGGGCACTATTGAACAAAGGCTGAGGATGCTGAGCAGTGCAAGGAATCAGCCTTATTGAAGGGTCGATCCCAGTGACAAATATATACCTTGCCCAATGTATTTATTTTATAGGGTTGTAAACACAACCTAAATAGGTTGTTTGGCTGCTGGCAGATCTTTGTGCTCATTCTTGGAAGGAGCACAGTAATGTATTTGGACATAGCAATAGCCTTGATAGGAAAGTGAGTTTTCCAGTTACAGTTTTTGGGTAAACATCCCTACTTTTACACCTGGCTGAAACACCCCTGAGGGAGCCTTGCTGAGGCGTGTTGATGCTTGTGTTTTGTAACCCTGTTTTGGGGGACCTAATATTGGGTCTTAAACTTATGGACCTGGATTTTCCTTGTCTTAAGATTGGGCTTTTTCTTTAACCATCTGGCAAGAGAGCTGCACTGAAGAAGATTTGGCATGCTGGATGGTGTGGTTTGGGTTTCGTTTTTGGGGTGGGGTTGGGAGTGGAGGGGCAATGTTCAGAAATTTGTGGTTTCATTCCAATGGCAAATAAAGATGAGTGAGGAAAACTCCAACATTGCTGCACCATGGAACTGTTGCTCTCCTTACAATTTCTCTTTCCACTATTTTTCCTGATTTTCCTAATTCCTCCAGGAGTCTCTTCCTATACTTCACACTTTTAGTCCCATAGAAATAAGCAACTCCAAAGAGTAGATGTTCTGGCCACCTTTCCCATGTGCTTTTGACGTGTGTGATACGTTGCAATAGGTGTAACATGGCGGTGGAAGTTGTGGCATAGGTACTAAAACATTCACCTTGTTCTTGATCCTGATATTCATTGTACCACTGAAACGTGTTTGTATTTTGTAAGGGCTGTGGGTGTGCAGGGGAGGGGAGGGGGAGGAATTTAACTTGTTATTCTTAGAAATAAATGTTTTCCTTGACGCCAAAATACTTTTGCTGCAGGAATTTCATTTGTGTATATTTTATCATGGTTTTCCAAAAACACATTGTTGATGGAGCATCAGAGGAGCTTTGGGAGCACTATCCTTGAGGTGTCCCAGCCTCTGCCTGGGAAACCTGGATTCTCACTATGCAGGGAGGAATTTCAAGGTATTACAATATATTGGTCTGCAGGGGATAATATCTAAGTACTAGGTCAAGTATTAGTCTAAGGTCCTAGCCAAGGCAGTGTAGAGAAGGTGCCAGGATCGTTCAAAATCAGCTGAAGGATGGGGAAGCTCTGATATTTTGGCATGACAGAAAGTGTATTCTCAGAGAATTTGGAAAATGGGCTGTCTTGCCCAATTTTTGTTCTTCCTTGCTGTGGCAGAAGAGTGTGAAATATGGAGCTGGCTGCCACTACAATCTGCTCCAGCTTCTGAAAAGACTTCTTCCAACCCACGTGTAAATCACTGCCTTGCTTGTGTTTACAATAAGACACAGACTGACTGTTGGAGCTTTCTAAAGGAAAGAAGTAGAAGATGATCATCTGCAGAGCATATGCAGTATTGTAAGCTTTCTGTAATTAAGCTTTTAGATAATGAAGAAAGACTTTTTGCACTCCAAACCAGCAACTCTCAATCATTCTAAGTAGTACTTGGAAGCTCATCCCATCCTTTTGATTTTCCTGCTGCTTGTCTCAGCAGTTGTGTTATTTTGGGTATGTTTGCATTTTGGAGGGGATCCAGAGGGAAGAAAAAGCTTTTGTGAACAAATCACATGGAGGATGTAGACAGCAAGATCTGCGGGGCTTGATAACATTTGTCTGTGACACACATGGACAGAAGAATAACAAATAACCTGGAAGACAGAGGCTGAACTGCTTGGTAGCCTTGGTTACATAGCCCAGAAATACTTTCTTCATGAAGGCAAATGAGACGTGATGCAACTGGGCAAGACAGAAATACCACCCAAATCTAGAGAAGGATCCTGGGGAGCAGCCTTCAGAGAGGGATTTGGTGACCAGGGTGGACAAGCAGCTGAAATAATTTCCAGTGTGATACTGCGAGCAGAGATGTGGTACTGCAATGTGAGCAGAAGGATAACATCTTTTGTGAGCAGGAGGATGACATGGAGGGCTGTGCTGGCTGACTGTGATGGGGAAAGGACCATGGGAGAAGAACCAGAGTTTGCACTTGGTGGAGCCCATGACAAGCCCGAGGAGCAGAAGAGCCATCCAAATTATTCAGGAGTGGGATGAGGGTCACAGAGGGCTTAGTGTGGGATATCTAGCAGAAAGGAGGAACAGATAAAAGTAATTATACAGATACTTATACAGATGTAAGTAACTATAGCACTTGTCTCAAAGAAGGTTTGAGCTTGCTGTCCCATGGAGTGAAGTCCTCCTCTCTCCCCCCTTTCACCTTTCTCTAGCCCAAACTTTCCTTCCCCAGTCTTGGCTTGTCTTGCACAGGCTGGGCTTTCAGAGGTGTACCCCTCACCCCATGACATCCCCCTGGCCTGGGTTGTTTTGCTCACTCCCATTCCTCCTTGTCTCCTTCAGGCTCTATTCATGTGCTCTCCTTAATGAATCTAGTTTATTTGCACATATGCTAATTGTTGTTGTGAATGCACAGGGCTGAAAAAACACCTCCCCAGCACGAAGGTGGCAGGACATCACCACGGTCCAGCCCCTGGAGCTGCTGAAGCTGCCTTTTTTTGCGTTTTGCTGCCCAGCTGGCAGGAGGTGATAGCACTGCGGGCAGGAGAGCAGCGCTCAGGGGTGCAAGCCCCATCTGAAAGGATGAGCTAGTGCTGATTAACTCAGATTAAGGGCCACAATAGGCAGCTGGGAATGGTGGGCAGAGATAATAGCAGTTTCAGGGGCCGTGTCTCTAGCTTTAAATATTCCTACAAGGCAGAAGGGGAGGAGGGGAACTGTATCCCATTTATCGCAAGATTATTGATGTAACCAGATTTGTTTCCTATTAAATGTGAATAATGGTAGTAGGATCAGCAGGATCATTCAGACCCAGAGCCTGGCTTTGAGTCCCAAATCATGTGGAATAAGATATTTATCAGATTGCAGCGGCAAGAATTGAATCCTACTTTTAGGACTCACCACAGCTGTTCATGGGTGCCATCGCTGGGTTTTGCACGTAGGCACAGCAGGGCTTGTCCAGCTGTGGACTTGATGTGTTAGTTCCTACCTGCTTCTGCATCACACGTGTGGTGTAAAGGCTTACCTGGGAGCTTGTGTCTGAACGCAGACAGAGGATTTCCTCACCCTTGCATTCAGTACTGAGCAGCAGCAGACATTTTATGGGCTGTAAGTTGTTTTTTACCCTGTGTTTCACTAGAAGATAGACTGAGAACCATTGCAAAGCAGAGGAAAGAAAGATATTCCTAGGCAAGCAAACACCAGAAAAAAATGGATGACATAAAAGTTTTAAACCTTTCAAACTGAACTGAATATTTATTTGTGAGAAAGACAGTGTTGCACTGAGCACCTAAATCTTCTCTAAGTTTTGTGGTCTCAAAGTATTTTCTCCCTGGTATTGTGTGTGTGTATTGGATTAATGAGAAGAATGAAAAATACTGATTTAGCAATTAAGGAAATTTAGGAATTGATTAAAATCTTAAGACTATACCTGAATAAATGAAGCAGAAAAGAGGGCAACTTCCCCTGGAAGGAGGGTGAGGGACTTGGTGCTTTGTCACAAAGCAATCAGTTAATTCACAAAGCACAAATATTGCTGGAAGAAGGGCACCCAAAAAATGCATCCACAAGAGCTGGAGCACAAATGAGAGCAGATGACATGAAGGAAACCTTCATCAGCCAGATTCCAGGGTTGGAGCAAGCATTGTCCCACCGCTCATTTACAGAGAGAGAGATGGGAATGTGCATCTTAGTGATCTTGGCATGAGCATCATGCCCCAAAACACCACAGAAGGGCTGAATAGAGTTGGGGCTGTCCCCAGGGACACCCATTGTCAGGAATTACTGCACGTAAATCTCTGAGGGAGGTGGTACTGGTCCCCTGGAGCTTGCCCAGGGTACCCCAGTGCTCTGCATGGGAAGGTTACCTGGGCCCCCATCCAGCCCGGGCTTGGCAAAGTGCTGGCCATTGACAATCTGTGCTGGGTCTCCGGTGTTAGTTCCCATTAATCTCTGCAGAAAAGGGATTCAGAGCGTGCCTGGGCTGGGGCCAGCTGTCTTTGTGATCACTGCTTTGGGGCCGCAGCCTGTTTTCAATGAACCCCCGAGACTCCGAAAGGGAGACTGAGAGCCTCTGTGCAGCGAGCCCCATCGGCAGCAGGACCCATGGGTTGCTGCTGGCCCCTGTTCTGCCCATGCAAGCTCCTTGAGTGGCTCTGCTGGGTGCAAAAGCTGATGAGGAGGGGAAAGGATGTGAGGTGAAATGGAGGTGACTATTAAAGTACAATAAAAGTATGTAAGAGCCAAGCTGGGGTTGCTTCAGGAATTAAGTAGGTCCATCAGGCTCGCCACATGTAGCTCCTCGTGTTGAAATACCAGAGTGATTTGCAGCTTTTAGTACTCTTGTGAGGTGGGGAAATGTGATGGCTGAGTAGTGGAGGTAGAGGAGACGTGAAGCACTGCACAGCCACCAGGTGCCCCAAAATCCTAGAATCATCAAGGTTGGAAGTGACCTTCAAGATCACCTAGTCCAACCATCACCCTACCACCAATGTCACCCCTCAAGTCTCTCACCTTTTTAAGGCATGGGTGAACTCAATATAAGGGGAGTCAATATCAGGTTGGGTGATGTGTTTAGATTCCTCTGCTGACTATCTAAAGCCAGGGGAGAGTCATCTGAGCCTGGCCATGGGATGGTGCAAGTGTGTGACTACTTTTAGTCTTGAACCCTAGTACGGCGTTTTAATATCCCTTCTCTTGATGCACCTTTAGCCATCTCTGAAGTCACACTGCTGAAATCTGTCACGTCAAACTTGTTTCTTCCTGAAGAAAAAGCTGCAGTTGGATCGAACTGAATTCTTCACAGTTTTGGAAGAGGTCTGGAGAAGCACTGAATGACAACCTTCTCCTGGAATAGGTGTGTGATGTGAAAAAATAAAACCAAACATGGTTTTAAATAGAAGAATCATCTCTCTGATGTCTACAAAAATTCTTCAAGCAGTTCCATTAACAAATAACCGAAAGGACAACTACTCGGCAGTCTATTGTGATTGCTTTATTAAAACTATTTGTATTTTAAATTTAAATAGATATCGGGAATGCAAGATGTAGAACTAAGATGAAAGCTTACACTACAGAGCTCGGTAGGATTAGCCCCTCAATAAGGGGACTACAGCAAATTTAGTTTGGCAAGAGACCATTACCTTTTCCAGGTAATCACACAGATGTTGCGGTCACTTAGAATGAGCAGAAAACTGTCGGCAGTGGAACAATCTTTGACAAAATTGTGCAAGCCAAGCCATAGAATCATTCAGGTTGGGAGAGATCTCTAAGGTCATCTAGTCCAACCTTTAACCTAGTACTGAAGTCCACCACTAAACCATGTCTCTAAGTTCTACATCTACACGTTTCTTGAAGACCTCCATGGATGGTGACTCAACCACTTCCCTGGGCAGCCTATACCATGATAGGGAATACATTTAGTGGATAGGGAAAACATTTAGGGGATAGGAGATAAAACATTTGTGAGGTCCTTGAACTGATGCCATAATCTCTTCCCAGCTGGCTCCAAGGAACTTCCCATCATCTTGTTCCCATCTCTATCCTGCCACTGTAAGCCCACAGGGAACCAGCATGTGTGGTCATTTTTCCAGATAAAAGTGCATTTCTCTGCTGTCTCCAGCTCCCCTTTCATCTGCTTTCCATCACTTCTCTGTCTCTCCCATATCTTGGAGAGCTCTCCCAGTGCCTCCTGTAGCTGGGGGGTCTGTTGCTTCTCTTTCTTATATTGCTGCTGGACACTTTCCAATATGTCTTTGAGGTACTGAGCACAATTTTTGATTTTTTGAGCT